ATGATCTTAATAGAATTAAAATTGGTTTAAAATGAGAGCTTTAAGAATAAACTAAATTAGAATTGTATTAGAATATCAGATAAGAATTCTATCTTTATTATGGAATAGAAGGATAAATTAAAGGACTTAATATGATGTTTTGACTTCGAAATATTTATGTTAACAAAAGGAAATTTATTGTGCCAAATTTAATCTTACTTGAGGCCTTGAATTAGACACTAAAAATAAAGGAATAAATCAAGATTATAAAAATTGAAGTGAATGTTGTATATTAAATGTTATTATATATTTCATAAGAAATATGGTAAAACATTTTTGGGGGGTTGACTGGCAGCAGATTCTGGGACTTCTTTGAACATTACAAAGTCTCTTTTCAAATTTTCATCAAGAGATAGCATAGAAGCTGCGTTACCACATCTGTAGCAATAATTTGGGGCTGACCACACTGTTACAAGTTATTCCTATGATAAATTATGATCTTACCTCAAACCAGTATTAGTAGCCATCTTAAACTAATTGATGTGCACGAGCAATTAATTCTAAGCCATTAATATGATTAAAATCATGTGTCACCTTTTTACCAAATATCCAACCTGCTCCTCTTGTATTTAATGCCCAAGTATCTACTTCTTCTGGATCTGACCACATCAAATCACAAAATGGACCTTCATGAGGAATTTCAGTTTTTCGATCTATTATAGAATATCAATCATCCTAACCTATTGTTCTTATTTAATCGATTGTTCTTAACTCTGGAGAAAGACCTCCATGAACACACAAGACCTTTCCATCTACGAGAGCTCCCAAAGGAAGGTAGTCGAAAACATCTGTAAAATATCGCCAAGGATTAGCATTCCCGTACTTTCTGACAATTTCATCATAGAAGCCATAAACTTAAGTAATTTGTCGTGATTCATGGTTTCCTCTCAATAACGTAATGTTGTCTGGGTATTTAAGTTTCAAACAAAGCAAATACTCGAATGTCTCTACAGAATTGTATCTACAATCAAAAAGCTAAAATACCCACGATCAACAAAATCCCCAATAAATATATAGTTGGCATTTGGTATCTATCCTCCCTTATTGAATAGCTCCAACAAATCAAAGAACTGCCCATGAATGTCTCCACAAATTATTACTGGGGCTTTCACCTAATGTACATTTGATTCCTCTATAAAAATCTCTTTTGCATGCTCACAAACCAAACGAACATCTCTCTCTGTCAAACAACGAGCATTTTTTAAAGTTTCTAAGTATTTATCGATATCCATTTAAAATTTTAAATTAATTCTCTCGTATAATAAATCATCTCTTATATTTATAAATATTCAAAATTTATAATATATAAAACTTAACTTTATAATATGTATNAAAATTGGTTTAAAATGAGAGCTTTAAGAATAAACTAAATTAGAATTGTATTAGAATATCAGATAAGAATTCTATCTTTATTATGGAATAGAAGGATAAATTAAAGGACTTAATATGATGTTTTGACTTCGAAATATTTATGTTAACAAAAGGAAATTTATTGTGCCAAATTTAATCTTACTTGAGGCCTTGAATTAGACACTAAAAATAAAGGAATAAATCAAGATTATAAAAATTGAAGTGAATGTTGTATATTAAATGTTATTATATATTTCATAAGAAATATGGTAAAACATTTTTGGGGGGTTGACTGGCAGCAGATTCTGGGACTTCTTTGAACATTACAAAGTCTCTTTTCAAATTTTCATCAAGAGATAGCATAGAAGCTGCGTTACCACATCTGTAGCAATAATTTGGGGCTGACCACACTGTTACAAGTTATTCCTATGATAAATTATGATCTTACCTCAAACCAGTATTAGTAGCCATCTTAAACTAATTGATGTGCACGAGCAATTAATTCTAAGCCATTAATATGATTAAAATCATGTGTCACCTTTTTACCAAATATCCAACCTGCTCCTCTTGTATTTAATGCCCAAGTATCTACTTCTTCTGGATCTGACCACATCAAATCACAAAATGGACCTTCATGAGGAATTTCAGTTTTTCGATCTATTATAGAATATCAATCATCCTAACCTATTGTTCTTATTTAATCGATTGTTCTTAACTCTGGAGAAAGACCTCCATGAACACACAAGACCTTTCCATCTACGAGAGCTCCCAAAGGAAGGTAGTCGAAAACATCTGTAAAATATCGCCAAGGATTAGCATTCCCGTACTTTCTGACAATTTCATCATAGAAGCCATAAACTTAAGTAATTTGTCGTGATTCATGGTTTCCTCTCAATAACGTAATGTTGTCTGGGTATTTAAGTTTCAAACAAAGCAAATACTCGAATGTCTCTACAGAATTGTATCTACAATCAAAAAGCTAAAATACCCACGATCAACAAAATCCCCAATAAATATATAGTTGGCATTTGGTATCTATCCTCCCTTATTGAATAGCTCCAACAAATCAAAGAACTGCCCATGAATGTCTCCACAAATTATTACTGGGGCTTTCACCTAATGTACATTTGATTCCTCTATAAAAATCTCTTTTGCATGCTCACAAACCAAACGAACATCTCTCTCTGTCAAACAACGAGCATTTTTTAAAGTTTCTAAGTATTTATCGATATCCATTTAAAATTTTAAATTAATTCTCTCGTATAATAAATCATCTCTTATATTTATAAATATTCAAAATTTATAATATATAAAACTTAACTTTATAATATGTATATATTATGCTGATTAAAATGAATTTCATATTTTTACCTTATTAAATAAAAAGATTACTTTTATTTCTTAATGATTCAACAGTGATTGAATTAAGAAGATAATCTATTTTAAAAAAATTTTTTATTATAATTACAAAAATGAATGCTGTATATCCAATAAACTTAACTAAGTGTGGAATTTTCTTTCAAACCTGTCAAACGATAACTTGTATTATAGAAATACAGATATATTTGTTTTTAGATATATCTAATTTATATATAAATCATAATCTACTCATTCAGCTTATTTATCAAGAAGAGCAACTTACACAAATTTCATTGTTACAAATTTAATTAAACAAATCATCTACTTCTGCATGTTTCACAAAAGGATTTTCAATAACTGATTAAACCTTTTGTAATAAATCAAAATTTTAGTTGGTTTCCACTTCTTAGATTACAGTTTGGAGAACAGTATTTGTAATTGTATATTTAGGATTCATCTATTCCATTATTTAGATACGATTTGCTTAATTCGTTTCAGATTTATACTACATAACCCAATCAGTCCATAACAAAGATATAATTTTTTATCTTTCTTATTCAGATATCACTTATAATTTATCATATTCTTTGTATAATTATATTTGTTGCTAAAGCCAATTTTCATCGACTCCAAACATATGTAACAGCTACCTAGATGAAGCAGCATATTGAATTAATTAATCAATTTATTATTTAGCTATTTTTGGTTTCCTCATTTGCAGATAAACCTCTCTTGGTGCTGAAATTTAAACCAATTATTCTATAATCTTAACATCTTGTTGATTTAATTCAACCTCTTCATCTATATAATTTTGATGTGGTATTTCAATTTATTGTAAAATTTAAAACACCTTTGTAAAATTAGTACAACTCTAATGTAAAATGTCGAAAAAGGAATCTACTAAAATGCATTAAGATTTCGTGAATTCCATTTAATCTTAGTCTATTAAACCAAATTTTCTCAGCATAATATGATAATACCATTTTTTATATTGAATCCAATAAGAATCCTAAATAATCTACTTACTTTAATCTTTAGGTATGACACCTTCCAAAGCTTCGCTCAATCTATTCAAATTCCATAAACACACTTAAGGTTAATTAGCATAACTATATCTGCCTTCTTTATCACTGTTGTTGCAAATGTGATTTTTATTAAAATAATCCATAAATCCAAAAGGTCCATAGTCAATGGTTAATCCTATAATGCTCATATTATCTGTATTTAAAACACCATGACAAAATCCATAACATTACCAATAAGCAACTAATTTAGCTGTCCTATTAACAATTTCTTAAAATGGATTTTCTTTATCTCCAAAGTAATATTTCTTACAATATGCCCAAAGTTGAGGTATGATTGAATTTTTAGGATTTAAATCGATTTCTACTTCAAAAGATCCGAATCTTAAGAATGTTTCTGCAATTCTTAAAACAACTGCACAATTTTCTTAGATAGGATGTCCGTCGTAAAATATATCCCTTTCTGCTTTTGAATCTGTAATTACAAGTGAAGCAGCTCTAGTTGTAGGAATGCTTAGATGAAACATAAATTCAGAACATAAATATTCCCGAACTGATGATCTAATGACAGCCTTTCCATCAGCAAATCTAGAAAAGGGAGTCAATCCAGATCCTTTTAACTACAGCTCATATCCATTTACATCTCCTAGAGTAATTGCTCTACCATCTCCCAATTACCCTGCCCAATTTCCAAATTAATAGCCACAATAACAATGAGCAACAGGTCTGGCCAAAGTAGGTACCAAGTTACCAGCTAATATTTAAATATTCTCATCATTTTTAACATCTAATTCTACATTGATCAAAGAGAAAGCAGATTTGGAATGGGCTATCAATCTCGGATTTTCCTTTTGTTCTGGTGTTACATCACTGAAACAATATCCAATAACCTAAGCTCTATTAAATTCTAAATACCTTTCTAGGTTTGTTAATTTTAGAATCATCAATTGGAAGTTGACATATCTTATTTTCAAAAGGTAAAACTTTTAATGCACTTATTATATTTTTCATTAAATAAAAAATAATCATAAGAAATTAGAAAACTTATTCTTAAAATTTAGAAAACCTTAATGATTATGGTCTGTTCTTGGTATTATATTTTAATTGCAATATTTATACAATTTAAATACAAGTAGATGAAATTAATTTGAAGCAAATAATATATAACAAATAAGAAAATAATTCAAACCTATATTAATAAAGTGCATAATTATATAATTTAAATTTAAAATGGAAGTTGAATTACATTAATAAATCCCTCCATAACTCAATGTACAAGTGGCAATTAGGGTTCGTCCTTTCAATGAAAAAGAATTGAAGCAAAAAGAAGGCGTATGTTTGGAGACATCCGAAAAATAAGTAACTCTTCTACAAAGTGCTCGTTTGTTCACATTCGATTATGTTTTTGATTAAAATGCATGCCAAGACTAAATCTACAGAAAGTATGCTTAGTAATTAATCATAGGTGTGTGAGCAATTTGGTTTAGAGGTGCTTTGAAGGTTATAATAGTACCATTCTTGCGTATGGGTAAACTGGATCAGGGAAAACACATACTATGGGTACTACAGGGGTAGATTGTTTGTCAAGTATCGCAGATTAAATATAAAGATAAAAATAACTTGGGGATGATTCCAAGGGTTATCACACAAATTTTTGAAGAAATTGAAAAAATAGACCAAGAAATCCTTATTTCATGTTCATACTTGGAGCTATACAATGAATAGATAATTGATCTCTTGTTGGAGACTTCAATATCCAGTTAACCTACTATCAGAGAAGAGAAGGATCACACAATAACAATATTAAATTTAACTACAATATTAGTAAATAATCCAAATGAAATGCTTTAAGTATTAAATAGAGGAGCTGCCCATCGGACAACTGCAGCTACATAAATGAATATGACAAGTTCTAGATCGCATGCAATTTTTACAATCTACTTTAAAATAAATCCTAAGGATGATTCTGAGGATGGCACTTTGAATGCCAAATTTCACTTTGTAGATCTTGCAGGAAGTGAAAGATTAAAGAAGACTTTGGCCTAGGGAAAAACAATGGAGGAAGGAATCAACATAAACCAAAGCCTTTTGGTCTTGGGCAATGTGATTAAGACCTTGAGCGATTAAAAAAAGAAAAGCTAGACTCATATTCCCTATCGAGAAAGTAAATTAACTAGGTATTGAATATTTAATCATAATAGAATATTGTAAGATTCTTTGGGGGGTAACTCTAATACTTGTATGATAGCATGTGTGTCTCCTGCTGAAAGCAATTATGAGGAGACTCTAAATACATTGAAGTATGCTTCAAGGGCAAGGGAAATTCAGAATAAGCCAACCTAAAATAGAGTATATCTATATAATTAATAAATCATAGGATCCCCATGCAATTTAAATTTTAAGTTTGAAATAGGAGATTGCAACATTGGTTGAATAAAACAAGCAGTTTTAAGAATTGCTTCAAACAAATGGAGTTAAATTCGATCAAATAAAAAAAGTGTCAGTATCACAATATTCTTCAAATATTCCACATACTTGTGAGGAACATCTAGAGATAATTCAAAAATAGAAACAAGCCCTACTTGTGTGGGAACGTCTTGGATCTCAGCATAAATTGGAGGTGCAAAAATTATATTCTTAAATTAACGATTTAGAAATAGAATTGCATAATCTAAAGAAGAAAAAAGATATTATTTTTAAACAATTCCAAGATGCTAAGAAGTACATTGTTATGTTATTTTAGAATTCTGTAAAAGTTTAACATTCCATTCACTAATTATGAAGAAGATGATGAAATTGAGGATTTGTATGACGAAGTTGATAAGCTAAAATAAGAAACAAAGGAAAAAGATTTTAAAATTCTAACTATGTAGAAAGAAATAGATGAGCTATTACAGGTAGTTTTTATTGTTTAAATACTAGGATAGGATGCACACAGAGATCAATACATCTTGTGTAAAAAATAGAAGGAGTTGATGGTTCTTTAACGGAAACTTGAAAAATTAGATACGAGGGATAATTTTGAATCTCCAATATAAGATTCAGAAGTTGATGAGGAAGTAATTTGTAATGATTCCATGATCAAAGAGGCTAATTAACAAATTGAAGAGTTTGAAAGCAACTTATAGGTTATGACTATTCGAAATTTTGAACTTAAACGACAATTAGCTGAAGATATGAAAAAGGAATTTCAATAACAAATTTCTGTTTTAGAGGCTTAAAAGTCTTCATTAATGAAACAAGTAAATTAAAAATAGGATGCTACTTAAATGAATGCTTTGAAAGTTAAATTATAGGAATATGAATCTAAAATTGGAGAGATGAGATAAAAAGAATAAAACATGAGACAGATGTAAAAGAAATTGGAAGAATAAGAAAATTAGGTTAAAGATTTAAAGATTAATATAGAAAAAATGAAAAAATAGAAAGTAGAATTGATTAAGAAAATGAAATCGGATAATGAAAAGTATATCAAGGATAAGGAGGAGAAATAAAAAGAATTGATTTTAATTAAAAAACTTAAAATTTAACAAGAAGCTGCTTTAAGCAAATTGAAAAATGAAAATTGTAAAAAAGAAGTACTTCTTAGAAGAAAGGAGGATGAAATATTAAAATAGAGAAATGAGAAAGTTATTGAAAAGGGAACAGGTCTATCATTTAAGAAATCACAAAAAGTGTAAGCTTATGATTCAATGGAGAAATAAATAGAATCGTTATTCTCTTAATTGATATCGGGAGGATAGGCAGAAATCTAAATATAAAGGGAAATCATCAAGTTGGAGTAGTTATAAGAGGAAATAAGTTAAATAGAATAGAAAATTTGTTAGTTACAGATAAAGAGAGAATAAACATCATTTGATTAGAATAATAAAAATAGTTTAAATTAGATAGAATTGGAATTGAGCGACATCATAATTATAAGAGAGAATATAAATGAGACAATCGATTATTAGTTGCATAAAATAGAGTAATTAAGAAAGAGTTGCAATAATTGCACTGAAATATATACAAATTTCTTAACCAATTCAGAATTGAGAGAACTTCCTAATTGGTGTATTAGAACTTTTAAATTCGTCATTGATAATTGGATTAAGGATCATTTGCAGATGCAGAATTTTAGCTAGTAGAATGATGAATTTTAGCAAATAATCCAAGAATTACAACAATAACTATAAAAGCCACTTTAGGAGATAAATTGCAACTCACCTACACTAAAAAAGAAAATTGTCAAATAACAAATTTCTTCTTAACCTAATGATGCTTTGGAACTCAGAAAGTAACTTAATGATCAAAAAAGAAAGTATTAATTCCTGTAAAATGAAAATAAAAATATGATATCAGATTTAGAATACTATAAGAAATTCTATACAGAACATATCAACAAAACCTAGAAGGATAAATGTATTGGTTTAAGTGATTAGGCTTAACTTCCATAGAGTTAGAGTTATCAGTAGATAAGGGATGCTTACAAATTGGAAAGAACCAAACAGAAGGAGTTGTCATTAAATTTAAGTTTTTAAAAACCATACATATAAAATTCTGCTCTCAAAATGGCCAAAGTATGTAAGTCAGATAGAGAGGGATATACGGAATAACTTAGTTAGGCACAAGAAGAATAAGAATTAAGATATGAGTATTAAATGATAGTTATTTGTTAGTGTAATTAAATCAATACCTGGCCATGAAAATCCAATATTGTGTGTGTACACAATGTAAAACTTATTATGTTCAAGTGCTTTTAGATCTGTAAAGATATGGGATATGGATGCACAATCTCACGTTGTATCTTTGGATGCAAACACTCATGTTAAATCGATTTGTCATTGGCCTGAAAGGAATGCAATTGCAGTGTCTCATGGATCCTAAATTTCTTTGTATGATGTGACTTCGTTTTAACTATAGAGCGTATTAAAGTCATCAATTGATGAAATAAGAGTGATGACAAGACACAATGGTTTATTAGTGGCTGGTGGAAAGGGCATTAATTACGCTATGAATGTTTGGGATGCAAGATCAAATAAGTATTGATGATTATATTCTTAGTTAAATTCACGAATTTGAGAAGTCAAGTGATGTTATGTGTATACAACAGTCTGATTAGACATAGGAGTTAATTTGGGGAACATTCAATCATAATGTGAGGAAAATGATGATGAACAGTAATAAATATGGTTAGATTGCATAAATGACACCTCCACATTATGATAAGGTAACTGGAGTTGGTTTACTTGATAATTGGATTGTGAGTTGCTCATTTGGAAAAGGAATGAGGATGTGGAACTAAGTGAATGGTTAATAAGGATAAGCAAATTCCGATATCCATAAAGATTCAATCTTAACTATGGCCGGTATAATAATTGATTTATTATTATTAGTTGACAAAAGCCTTAAAGTCATGTATACTGGATGTAAGGACGGTTAAATTAAAGCTACTAGAATTAGTGAGAATAAATTCTAACTTGTTAGTGATATTAGTGCTTCAGTCTAATAAATTAATTCTCTCAATATCATAAATGATAGTTCACTAATCGTAAGTGGTGGACAAGATAGAATGATTAAAATATGGAAGCCTTCTAAATTTACTTTTGATTACTTAAAATAGTTTACTCCGAACATCGGGGATTTCATTATAGAGGAAGATCAATACCTATTTAGTTGACTATTATTTATTTGATATTAATTTAGATTCTGTAATTAATTATTGATTTCTTAATGTTAGATTGTTTCAAACAATATTAACAATTAATAAGAATATTATAAATTATTATTTTTTAGCGAATTTTATATTTATTAGATAATTCAGTTTTAAAGTAAATTACGAAAGTCTTCATATTTCAATTCATTTTGGTTTGGAGACAATTCCTTGATCAGTCTCTATTTTAATATGAATGTTCATTACATTTAAATCGATTGAAAGATTAAACTCATTTTATATAACATTAATGAGTTTTTGCCTATCCACTGATCCAGATTTATCTTCGTTTCCACCTAATGCTATAAATGCAAGTTCTATTGAGATTATGTATAATTTTACTTATGTCTTCCTCATCACTTGTCTATAAAATCATTTTGTGATAAGCGATTATTTTTAAGAAATCCTCTTTACTAATAGCTCCTCTTCCTGATAAATCCACTTCATTAATCATCTTTATTAATTCTTCTTCTGTTGGCTTCTAACCCATTTCTAAGACTTTTATTAAAAGTTACCTTCAAGAACTGCTCTTAATTCATCTTTCTCAATATATCCCGATACATTTTTATCGAATGCTACAAAAGCCTCATAGCATTTTTATTTCTCCTTTGCTGTGAGTGTATCTACATTAACTTTTTTTAGATCTTCCATATTTATAGACATTTCTAATCGCAAAAAAATAAAAATAATTAATAAAATAATAGTTGTAATTCATTAATTTTAAATACATTAATTAAATAATTTATTCATTTGAGTAATCATTTCTGATATACTTATATCTTATCTCCAATACTATTTAAATACATATAAACTGAGTAGAAATGTTGAAATTATGCCGATTTATGATAAATCGCGTTATATATAATTTCATAAAAAAATAATAATAATTCAAAGTTAAAATGTATCAATATTACAATTCGCATGTCCATATTATTTGCAGGCCAAACAAATTATTTAATTGTTTCCTTTGGTTTAGACTGGTACAATTATTCCACAATCTTCAGCCTTATGACTAGTTTTACCGCAATATGGGCAGAAAGTCAATCTCAGTTAAACCTAATAATGATATTTAAATGAATACTTTACAATCATATTTTCGATGACCACTGCGATTGCATCGAAAACAAGAAAAATTAGTACAACTCTCACCATAATGCTTTTAACTCAAACAATAAATGCATTAAACTCTTTATTTTTCAGTACATTGATTTTCAACATGTCCAACTTACTTACATCTGAAACAAAAATTAAAGCAGTTTTTTTAATAATATCTATTCAAACCGATTTCTAATTCTTTTTTTAAATTTTATTAAAAATCTGTAAGATTAGCTCCTTTAACAGAGTCTTCTTTTTTCTCTTCTACTGTCTCCTATTTCTAATTAATTATTTTGGATAGTTTTTGATTCAGAAATTTGTTTGAAGTAGTCCTTTATTTTCCATCAACTTAATATCTGATCTAAATATCTTTCTTTGAAGGGTGAGAATCAAGTACAAAATCTAACATTTTTGTTTTGTTTTTATCATGCTATTATTTTTCTTTTGAGGGAGATGTTATAGATTATAGGCTTTTGGATACGCTTGAAGAGGATGAAGAACTATCTGAGTAGGAGTAATCACATTAACTTTTTGATGTTCTTTTCCTATTAGATTAGTAAATCTAAATAGGTTTGATGAAAATGTTCTTGACTATCCCATCTATTTTTTCTCTTTTTCTTACATCAGCATTGCCATTGTCATTCTTGGAGTTATTATTTTTTTACTACTTTGCATCTTCAGGATTTTCTGGTTAATCAACTGGATTTAGGTCTAAATAGATCATTAATGAATAATAATAAATATCAACTATTTTAATTTAATACATTCTTCAATGCTAAATAATACAAGCAGACTAATTTATAAATATAATATTATAAATTTAAATTTAATTGATTATAAACAAAATAATATAAATATATTTAATCTTAGCAATAAGGATAATTAAATGATTATTAAGCAGTAGGGTTAAAACAAATAAAAATAGCCATTTATATAAACTAAATCACCTGAAGTTTTAATGATATTCACATTTTGGTTGTTTAAGAGCATTTCATAAAAGTTAATCTATACTTTGGAGATGGCAATCGATGGAATAATTCTTTTGTTGATCTTAACAATTATCTCTTCATTCAAGTTCTCATATTCATATGAATCCTTGTTTCATATTCAATTTATATTTAAATTTTTGAGTATGAAAATAACAACTCTCCAGGTAATTCTTTTATTTATTGTAGATAACGATAGCTCTTCCCAAGATTAGTGTCTTACACGTTTCACAATTTAATAATACTGTTTAATTATATATTATAAATCAATTATATACACTGTTAATAGAGAATTTATAAATATTGATTGTTGATTCAATATATTATTATTTATATCTGATTTTAATGTCTAAATTCTGTTACTTTAATTTATAATAAATGATGGTATATATTATAATGAACTATTTCTATTTATGTATTATATTTAATTCAATGAAAATATTCATCATACAAGTAAATAAACATCTTTACCAATATTAAATTATCAATAAATTCAATATGGGCTGCCCTTCCAATAAATTTATCCAATTTTCTATCATAATAGTAATTAATACTTTTTAGTTATTAAGAAATTAATGTCAAATCTATCTATTTTGCCACATTTTGATAAAATATTTGATACTATTTCATTATAAGCCTGAACTCTTTGATCATTTGAGTTCTCAATTTTCTAAATCAGAGCAGAATGGAAAGGCACATAGTGATCTTAAAATGAAGACATCAACACTACATTGTCAAACCAATTTAATCCTTCTACTTTACTCAAATTATATATGTAAGTGTTTTTAATATCCTTATGATCTCTTTAACTTAATTCTTCAAGTGTCTTACATTTATTCCATTTTTGAATCATCATCAACCCAGTATCCACTAAGACACTTTCTGATGAAGCATATCCACAATGAGGCGATCCAAGACTCAGATAAGTATGCATAAACTGTTTATATTCACTCAATTCAGGAAGTGCTGCCCTTATGATTAGGCCTCCAAGGGAATGCCCAATAAATGACAATCTAAATTCTGTTACATTTTCATCTTTTATATAGTTCTCGACTTCATTTGCTAGTAATTATGCTTATTCTTAAATTGGTTTATTTGAAGTGCCGTCGTTGCATGTTGGACAAATCAATCTAATTTTATCCTTAAATCGAATTGTCAATATGGATTTCCAGTATCTCATGTCATAAGAAGTGCCTTGATATCCATGAACTAAGACGACGTAGTGGATGAGGGAATTTTGGGGTTTCTGCATAAATCCCTTTTAAACACAAGTATGTTTGAATATGAATGGATTTGCATTTAATGGTTGGAGCAATTCAGTATATTTAATTGCATCGAGTTCCTAAGAGTTAATTTGGTTTCTGTATTGTTTTGCTTATTCATGATTGTTTCTTCCATTTAAGAGAGCCTAATCTAGTGGTTTAAATTCGGATTTATTTAAGAAAACACAATTTTGCCACCTTTACATCATTTGACATAAATATTCCTATTCCAATTAGTCTTAGAGCTTTTGATGGTTCTCCTTGATTGCATTCACGAGTTCACACCATAACATATACATATCATGATGGAGATCATGTAAACTCTATTGATGGATAAGAATATACTTTCATAATTTAATCATCTATTTCTCTGTCATTTAAATCATAATACTTTTCCTCATATTGTAACTAAGTGAGTTTCTTTTCGTTCTATAGACTATCAAGTTGTTTGATTAGTTATTTCCTGTTATCCAGCATCAAATATATAGACTAGTTTAAAAGCTATTATAATTTTTCTTACGTTTGAAGTTCTGCGACTAATTACTGTTTTGTAAATGAAAATTGAATTGGAATTGTGTGGATTTAAGTTTCTAATAAACAAAAGTGGGCTGAATCAAACTCAACAGGATAGTACGCTTAATTGTAAGTTAATGCATTAGAGACTGTTAAAGTGGCTCTAGAAATAATTTGCATTTATTATTTAATTGACAATGCAACTTCCTTCAAATTATCCACAAAAAGATCTCCTAAAAGTTTTTTATCTAGAAACAACAATTCAATGACGATTTCAATATTTTGAGTTTCTTATTATCGAAATACACAGCCAATATTAGTAGGCATTTCCTCATCCTCATATCGAATCAAGAAGCCTTGTGAATAGAAATATTTATCCTCTATGTTCTCTTCGTAGAATACAAAATTTTAATCGACCTCATTTGATGTTTACGGATCACGTCTTATTGAATTGAAGATCAAGTAAGGTTAAGCTTCTGGCTATTTAAGATGAGGAGAATAAATACTATGTGAACTCTTATCTAATAGATTCCTTAAGTAAAAAGATCAATGTTTGTGAATTTCTTGAAATGAATTAAAACTTCAATCTATGATTTCATGTTAATAATATTTATTATTAATATTCATTTGTCTTAGACTGTCTTAATAAGCCATTCCATTCCTTCTTGTAATCCTTCCTGGGTTTTGGCTGAACATGCTACAATCGACCATTATCTGTCTGTAATTTTATTTAATTTCAAACTATCGGAGATCTGAATTAAGTAAGCATACTAACCTCATCAGCGGGAAGAGCTTGCACCAAATCTTGTTTATTTGCAAATACCAAAAGGGGCACCTTCTTTAATTCAGCCTCTCCTAATAGTTTGTCCAATTCCTTGCCTCCCTCTTCCAAACGCATTTAATCTGATGAATCGATAACAAAGACTAAAGCATCCGTATTTTCATAGAAGTTGCTCCAATATTCACGTAGTTTCTATGATGCACTAAATCAATACTTCTTGACCTCCGACATCCCACACATTCAGCTTGAATCCTTCGTGTTACAAATTTTTGATATTAAAACCATGTGTGGGAGCAATTTGATTGATGTCCTCATTAGACAAAGCCTTCAGAATAGTAGTTTTACCGGCATTATCTAATCCTAAGACCAGAATTCTCAATTCCTTTTCTGACTTTTTGATCTTTCGAATGATATTCAACAATCCCTAATTTTACCATGAACACATACCATTCTTAAAGATTTGTTTTAATATTTTTATTTATTATTTATTAATAAATCATGGATATAGAGGTTTGTCTTCTCTGATATGAGAACTCGACATATCTGGGTGATGCACAGGGTACACACTTTCCTTGACTCTAAATTCAGATAGTACAATATTCGTACCTTCCACTTGCAGCATCTCTTGCAGCCACTCGTTTCTTAGCCTCATTGATTTCACTCTAAGTAATGTTCGTGTATCTCTCATCAGCCCACATTGTATCAGGTCTCAACTTATCTCTATGTCCATCAGCCCAGGTCTTATCTGAAACATCCTTTACTGTTCTGCCCTACGAAGAATATTCACAATCTAATTATACCTTATTGTAGGGAGAAACTTCCAAAACTGAACGATATTGGAGTGTCTAAATGGCCTCAATTTTATCTAGTTGCTTCTTTTTTTCCTTCAATCCTTCCAAAGCCCATTTGGGACAAATAGAAATGATGTTATCAGCTTCTTCTTGGCATTTAGTTACTCCATTTACATTTTAGCATCTTTTGAAGGCCTCAATCTATCTAACGCATCCTCTTGGAAGTGCTTAAGCTCTAATTGCTAGTGCTGTAAACATAGGTGCATCTCTATTGAATTTAGAATTTGTTATTACTTTCTTGTCTACCATCCATGATTTCCAAAGTGTTATTCACTCAAAGGATCATAATGAGTTGGGAAAAACACACTCCAATTAACTCGGTTAGGATATGGATCAGGGAAGTAAAATCCATTGCCATTTCTAATACCCATACCCATTCTCTTTTGATTTGGGATTTATTGCATGGCAAAGGGGTTATATGGTGCAATAGCTCTTCTCCATTTAGATAAAGTGTTGTTCAGAAGATTCTTCTTGACATTCAAATAAGGATAATTGGTTTCATAATATTCGAAATCCAATGGCTATCCATCTGGGTTGTCACTTGACATGTATAAAGATTTAATTATTAATACAATTTAAAATTTAAAATAAAAAATGTGCAAACATATTCTCAATGCCTAAGTAGCCATCAGAGCTGCATGTTGCAAAAAGTAAGATAATATTTATACATCTTTAAGATGGTTTGATTGTGCTGAATGTCATTAAGAACTGGAAGATCATCCATTATAAAAAAATATTGAGATGGTTTTCGCTTGTAAGAAATGCAAGAAAGTTTTCCGAAAAGACATTACTGATTATGATGAATCAGATGAATATTGTCCACAGTAAAAATAAATCAATACCTTTATAGTTGTGATAATCATTATGTTATCAAAGCAGTTACATAAGAATCAAAAGAGATTCAGAAATTCGAGAATTTAGTTAAAGAAGTCAAATAATGATTTAATATATGGTCATCTATTTATCTTAATTATTCAAATTTTCAAGTCAATTTTAAATTATTTATCAACACCCTAATCCAATATTTACAAACATCAATATTCATTAACTTCAGCTACCTTAATTGTCTAATAAGCTGTTCCATTTTTACTATGTTCCATAATAATTCTAAATATTTAATATCATATAGTAATGTTCATATGCAACATATATAAATCATGTTTAATAAATATGTGGATTTAAGAAAGTGCTTAGAATATGAGATCTCAATTGAAACTTTAGCAATATTTCTTAATTTAAGGTCGATTATTTTGAATAACAATTAAGTGCTATATATATGTTATAATTTTTATGTAAAATCCCAGGAGTTCTTCTACTTATTCCATCAATATACCGAAAATGATTCCGCTTTCCTAAGTGACCCTTTATTACTCCCTCTCTCGCTTCAAATTCCAATCTCCAGTCCGCACTTACCTGTAGTTTTAATTTGCATACTTTTAGCAAAACCAACGAAATCAAATAGAGACAATAGTTGCACAAAACTCTAACAAACAAACTTATGACTCAAGTAAGCAAAGGTAACAATTCTCACTCCAAAACATTGACCAAATTGACAAGACGTACTTCATCATATGTAAATGACAAATATTAACAACTATGGGAAGCACTTAAATTTAAGACTATTCACGAACCCTATGATGTTAACATGCTACAGGAGTTCTTTTACGATTTAGTCAAAGAAGAAAACTTCATCAACACTGATCGCTATGAATTCCCTGTACATAATAAAGCTGATTTCACTCATTTTAAATCATATTTCATTACGGTTTTATTTCATGAACGAGACTTGAATAAATACTTATTTAAATTAGAATCAATAAGAATGTCTCATTTACGATTGCTATCCATTAATTAAGAATTGAAAGGCTTTTTTGGGTTAAACCAAATCTTAAAATCTCTTTTTGAGCATTTAAGAATGGATATCACTTTAAAGAATTATGTCAGCGATTATGAGAGTGTTAAGGATATTTGGTTAGAAGTCTCAACTAATATATTGCAACCATAAGATGACAATTAAAAATTACATAAGGAGATTAGAAATTATGCAGAAACAAATAAACTTAATCATGTGCATTTCTTCAATTTTAAGTTTCTCTTGTATAAGGTATTGCTGAAGCATAAGATTTCAATGAGAGGGATCAAGAAGGTCTTGAAATTATTAGATAATTGGAAAAGCACTGTTATGAGATGCGAACGCATTATGGAATTGATTCTTTGCAATTGTACTAAAATTGCTAAAAGCTTATAGATTAGTATCTAATGTATTGTATGGTAACTGACCAAAAGCATGAAACTATTCAAAGAAGAGCGATAGAACTTATACTAGAATACTTATACAACAATGATCATAGATCAATTAAGAAATGTGATTTGAAATAATACCATTATGTTCACCAATCAATGCAAAAAGTGATATCCAGATTAAACACATCTCAAATATTAATACAAGATTTCCATTAGGATCTTGATTCAATATTTGTATAGAAATTGCAAATTAAGAAGCAATCATTAGTTGAGTTTGGAATATAATTGCAACAGATTCCCTTTTTTATGTAAATCTACGATGTAAATTGTGTAAATGATATTTAGGATTATGAAGTAAATGTGCATCGCCTATTGGAAACCGAGCTTGATTTCATGTTGAGTAATCGCACCTACTTCAGATAAAAAGAGATTGAATTGATTCACAAAAACATGAACATTTCGCATGAAGTCTTTGATTTATACATCATGGTAGGATATTAACTATATTATTAAAGAGATTATAAGATACCCTCTATGGAGTGCCAACGAAAGCCATAATAAACAGAATAAACTAATATCGAATGTGGGTTGTTAATGAAAAAATAAAAACGAATGAAATTTATTGATATTTATTAAAATTATGTTCCACTTGTTGCTTATTCTAGCTGTTGTTTAGGCAAGAAACAAATCTTAAAATGATACCATCAGAATTCAAACTCCAGGTTGATATTGCTCTCTATTCCCTTAGAATATGAAAAAAATGTGAACAATACAAAAAACATTTTTTATTCTTGTGTTATCACATCATCATCTTATCTGACATTTAATGATGATGTTGTCATGAACTCATTGAATTCGATCATAGAAGCATATTAAACAATTGAATCCCCTGAGGTTAGATTTGAAACTCAAAGGAAAGCTAGTAAGAGAATCCAAATTGATGCCACCTAATATTGCATCCTTCGACAAACAGGTGAGACAGCTAAATAGGTATGTAGATGATTGATTACAATTTTAGATGTATGATGAAATCTAAGTAGGGCAATTCAATGTTACTTAATATTATTATTTGATGAATGACTTTGATTTGTCATAATACTAAAATCAGTCTGCTAAAATTACCTTTGATGAAGCTGAAGAATCAGTTTGGAGAATCATGGAAGTATTTCATTGATTCATTTTAGGATTTCTAAGCAAAATCAAGGGAAATGATTGGAGATGATGAATTTGATGGATTAAATTATTCCTAATACCCTGATTATATGGAGAATCCATATGAAACAAAAGTTTTTGGTTAATCAATAGACAAATAATCAAATTTTTCGATTTTGATTTTTGCTTCTGTGTTTATAGCGTTTTTTGTGATTATGATTTTAGGTACTATGATTATCATCATTAGCTTATAATGCGTTGAAGGATAGCCATAAGAAAGTTGAATAAAAGAAAGAAAAGAAATCTAAAAAGCAGAAATGAAATATATATTATTTTTTATTAAAATTATCAAATGTCTATTTGTGAAATCTGTTTTATAAAAGACAAACTTATTATTTGGTATTCATTTCCAATTCAAAATTAGTCCTAAATGCTCTAGAAATGTTTGTTCATTGTGCAGTAAATTGTCAGATTGCGATATTTGCATTCTAATTGAAATGAAATTTGCATTCGTAATAATCAACCATAAATATTAGCTATATTAACAACATAAGTCACAAACTGAAGAACAAGCCTATCAATTATAATAAATCAATGAGAAGATAAACACTATTAATCAAGAAATTTCCTTAATTTAAAAGGTAAGTTCACACCTAGATAAACATGAAAATAAAAAAAGTGAATCACTAGAGTTTTAAATGAGTGAAACAATCATTGATAAACAACATGAGCTTGAAGATATCGAAGGGGAAATTGAAAACTAAAAAGTATAGTAGATTGATTTTATTATGATTTTAGTTGATGAGGGCAATGAAGAATTAAATGCATTAAAAAGTTAGCAATTAAAATTATCCACACAAAATAAGGAATTGGACTTAAAAATCAATGAAGCTGAGAAAGAATATGAAGTGCTTCAAGAAACTCTGAATTTAAAGAAATAGCAAATATATTAGATCTTATAAACTCTGAAAAATAAAACTAGTTTATTACGAGGAAGCTAAGAAGAAAAGCATTATTCTTAAAGCAATTTAGGACTGACTCTTCCTGGGAAGTAACAAAAGACTATTTCAGGAGAAGAAAAATCATAAAATCCAGGGTAATATAGTTATTAGATCTATATAGATTATGTGCCGGATAGTGTTTGGTATAATGAATTTAAATTAATTTATAATTTGATAATTTTTACTCACTTTTTCTTCGTTTTGGAAGTGGTTGAATTAGTTGATTTGTTAATCGAAATCGATTATTATGGTGACTATGCCATCGTAGGCATTTTTTCATTGACAATGTCTGCGTTTTTAGCAACATTAAAGTCAGCCAGAGCTACATATAAGATTTCCAAAATTACCATCCATTATAGCTGATTTGCCAGCAGTCAAAACTCCTCTTGGCAGTCTTTTATCAGGACATGCTCCTTTAAGTTAAATAATGCTTTCGCTTTATTCTCTCAAAGTCTTTTGCATTTTTATCATATTAGCTACAAAAAGGATTTTCTTTTTCAATTTTTCTGTATCTTTTCAAATGAATATTAAAATTATTACTTTTAGCATTATTGGATCCAGTGGTGCTTTGCTTATCAAATTTCTTATTTTATTAAGTCAATTCTTTAAATTGTTTGATATCTTCTTCATTAACTTCCTCATCATCAACTTGATCTCCAACTTATAGTAAATTGTAAAGCATTTCAGTTACTTTTTCAGCTACAAATGGAATAGACCATGTAAATATATCCATGAAGTTTGGCAATAAATATGGATGAGGTGTATATTAAAACTATTAAATATTCAGAGTATTATTCTTGTAATTAATAAAAGAATGCAATTACTTCAAATTTAATTACAGCACCCTTATTATTGTAAACATCACAGTAATTAGGTGCACTGAAAATAGTAATGACAACTGGAAAATCTTTACCTCCATGCCATCTATGCATTTTATATCCATCTAATTGAGCCTAATGTAATTATATTGGCATTTACTTCGTGTGCACGAATGATAGATATCAGATTGTTTTTCTACAAGAATTTTGAAGCTGCATCGTTTCCAAAAAACCAACTGCATCCTCTCACTTCGTTTCCTTTCCATTATCCATCCAAATTTCCTTAATCCTAATCTACTGGGTCGCTCCATAATAGATCACAAAATAAACCGCTTCTAGGTGGCTCATGATAGCGATCCAATTTCTTGATATCTTCTAACTAAAATGAAGGTCATTTATGTACAGATTTTAAATCAGGAGATATTCCTCCATGAATTGCTATAAATTTTGAGTTTATTATGCAAGCCAAAGGAAACAAATCAAATGAATCCATCAACATATCGTAGGTTTCTTAATCATACTTGTAAAGACCTTTGTAAATCATTCTAATTACATTCATCTTTAAAATTAAAGAATGCTGTCAGCTATCTACATTCATGATTTCCCCTCAAAAAATATACAGTATTTGGATAATTCAGTTTTATTGCATAAAGCAAGATTATTACCTCTATAGAATAAGATCCTCTATCAACAAAGTCTCCAAGAAACAAATATCTAAACTCAATGAATCAAACTTACTTAGTTGTCTCAGGATTCCCTCCTACCTTCGGCTCCAAGAGTTTTAACAAGTCATAGTATTATCTAATCATCTCTTTATTCTTACCCATGAATGTCTCCTACTACTGTAAGTGGATCTTGCAAATATATTACGTTCCCTTCATTCTCTAGAAATCACTAACTTTTATACTTAATAATTTATTGCAATCCCCAACTAACTTGTAAAGGTCTTCTTTAGAAACTCTTCCTTCTTTCTAAAGATGATCCTTAAGCAATTTCCAATCAGGTTTGTCTTTTCATATCAAAATTTTACATACTTTTCAATTTGTCTGGGAACATGAGACTCTTCGTTAATGGCCTATGAGGTGGAGGCTTTAGAGTCTTTACATGTCTGTCATTCGCTGGGTCTTTCAGAGTGTCCATTTTATTAGTATTAATTTCTGAAATTAAATAAAAATCTATACCTTCAAAAATTTGCTAACGTAGCTATAGTTATTTGAATAATTACTATGTGAGTTTTAAAATTTAAATATCATAAAATCTAAAAACTCAATTTCAATTTCGTATACTTCATCTATAGAGTAGAAAATCCTACCTTCAATATGAGCTTGCTATATAATAATGCTATGATAATGTTATTATTATTATTAAATGTATATAATTTACTTCATTATCCATTCAAATATATTGAATCTTAAGGAAAAAAGATAAATTCAGCTCGATTTAACCAAACCTTTTGTCATAAACTAAGAAATAATTGATATTGAAATATTTATAGACTCATTAGATTAATTTTTTAGTACTAAATATTTGATAATTATTTGAAAAATAAACTGAAATACATATTCCTCCTTTTTAATGACTTTCAGAGTTTATTTATTGATTATTTAAATTTCATTTAATAAATTTAAATTTTTGTAATCACAAAATGATTTTAAAAAATACTTTAATTTTATGATTTATCAAATTTCAGAAAAAAAAAGTATTGATATAAAAAAATTCATATAAGCAAGCTTTTAAGAATAAATTTAAATTGGAAGTACATAGGTTCACAATTACTTAAAATAAAGGTATCTGATAAAGATAAAATAATAAGGATAAAAAATATTTAAATTATTTAGTCCAATTTTAATAGAAATATATTAGATTTTTTAACTTTAAATGAGCCAATTTTATACATTTAACCCTATAATATAATCATCACGATGAGCTATCTGAGTCGCTTGAAGAACTACTTGAAGAAGTCTTCTTCTAATTTTAATTAGTTTATTTTTAATCATCTGATTGTGAAGAAGAAGAGGAACCACTACTGCTGCTACTACTAGAGCTTCCACTCGAAGATGAGGAGGATGAAGAATCAGACGATGAACTTGAAGTACTTTCTCTCCTATTTTATTTTCTTTTCTATATTAATATATCTATATTTTACAGGAGTTTTTGATCTTTTGCTATATCTTCTTTTTGAATGTCTCTTTCTTGAGCTTGATCTTTTGTGATGCCTATCTGACGATCTTTTCCTAGATTAATGCTATTTCTTTTTTTTTTCTCTTTCAATCCTTTCTTACTTTTCCTTTTCCTTTTCTCTCTTCTCTTTTTGTTTTTACTTTTCTCTTTATTTTTCTCTCTCCCTTTCTTTTTCTTTTTCTTTTTCTTTTTCTCTTTCTCTCTCCTTCTCTCTTTCTCTTTCTCTTTCTCTCTCTTTTTCTCTTTCTCTTTCTTTCTCCCTTTCTCTTTCCCTTTCCCTTTCTCTCTCCCTTTCTCTTTCCCTTTCTCTTTCTTTTTCCCTCTCTTTTTCTTTTCGCTCCTTCTCTCTTTCTTTTTCTTTGTCTTTTTCCTTCAATTTTTATTATTCTTGTTATTAATCAGAATCCTTCTTTTATGGTTCTTTGTCTTTTTCTTTATCTTTCTCTTTCTCTTTATCTAAATCTTTATTTTCATTCTTTTATTTATCTTCTCTATATTTTGCTCTTGCATATTCTTCCTTTTACTTTTACTCCTTTTCCTTTTTGATTTCTCTTTACCTAAGCTTATCTAGTCTCTCTTTTTTAATTTTTTCAGTATAATGTCTAATTTATAATGATAAATTACTTTTATCTATCTAATCCAAGACTTTAACATTTAATCTTCTTTCCATCAATAATTGCTCTATGCATATATTAAGTGGCTTGTGAAGCATCGCCTTCATCATTATAAGTAATAAAAGCAAATAAAAGTGGAAGCATATTATTTTATTCATCAAACTACATCTCTACATTAGTTAATTTCCCATAAGTGGAGAAAATTTCGTGTAGAACATCTTGAGTGACATTTCTTGAAATATTCTAAACAAGCAAAAGATTCTTCACTTTCTTCTCCTTAGTCTTTTCTTTATTTTTTTTTTCTTTTGATTTTTCTTTTGATCTTTCTCTTGACTTTTAACTTTTTGATTTTTTTTAATTTAAGTCTTTCACTCTCTTCTTCTCTTCACTCGAAGAAGATGACCCTGATGAAGACGAGGAATGAGATTTAGGCATATCAATATTTAATATTAATATAATAAATTAAATCAATAGTAAAATTTAAAACACCTCTTAAAAAGACTAATATCAAGAAAGGAGTAAAGTATATAAATTTGAATATGAATTTCGAAGTTAAATAACAAATTGTATTTTATTGAAAAGTGCAGGCATTCATTTCGTTACTCTATTTGTTTATAATTTGTATTGCATCGATCAAGATAAAGTAAGGGTGATTGAAAAGAAATAATAATATATTATTCGAGGAGAGTATGGTGTGACTTCAAACTTGCTATGGCCAGTTATTTGTGTTTGAAAGCAATGATAATCAACTTAAATGATATTTAGTAAATGATTAATTAATAAATGATTTGTGATGTTCTAAAATCCTAATAATAAAGTGATTCATGAACTCAAGATGGAAAAGTCTTTATAAATGTGAGGATTCGTCTTTTTCTCCATAAATAAATATCTCTTAATTATGCAACAATTGCCAGCTCATAAAGTTTACGAAGTTTAAGAAACTAAGGAAACAGCAGATGCTGTTGCCTATGCATTCCTATCAAACACTGGTGAGCCTGTGCCATACCCATATAAATACACTAAAATTGCAGACGATGATGTCAGAATTAGAATTTTGTTTACTGGATTGTGTCATAGTGATTGTCTTCATTCAAGAGGATTGTGGGATCCATACATGTATATTTAATTTCTAAAGCTTAGTACTTACCCAAGTTGCCCAGGACATGAAGTGGTCGGATAGGTAGAAAAAGTTGGAACAGGAGTCACAAAATTCAAAGTTGGTGATAGAGTTGGATGCAATCCATAAAGATGGATGTGTTAAACCTGTGAGCAATGCAAGAAAGGAGATAATTAATTATGTTCACAAAACATTGGCTTATATGATGATAACAATTTCGGTGGATATTCTACTCACATCTAAGTTGCTGAAAGAATGGTCTTCAGAATTCCAGAGGGTAATATAAAATATCATTCTTTAGGATTCAATGATGCTTTGGGTTCTCCCCTATTGTGTGCTGGTGTTACAGTCTATGCCCCATTAAAAAGATTTTACAAACCTAATTATACATGTGCCGTCATTGGTATCGGTGGATTGGGACATTTGGCTGTTTAATATGCAGCTAAATTAGGTATGACTGTCACAGCCTTTACAACAAGCAAAAACAGAGAATAAGAAATCAAGAAATTAGGTGCTTCAAATTTGTCCAATTCAATTGATAAAGAGAGTTTGAAAGCAGAATAAGGAAAATATGATATTGTCATCAACACCCTTTACATTGAAGATGAAGAAGTCTTCAAAAGCCATCAAAGATTAACTGCCCCAACTGGTACATACATCTAAGTTGGAGCTCCCCCTTCAAAAGTTAACTTCAAATTAGATCATGCTTATATCATCTTAAATTAAATCAGAGTTGCTGGTTCCTTGATTGGTAGTTATGATGAAACATAAGTATTTTTTGTTATAATCTCTAGTAAATGCTTGAATTTTCAGCCTAAAATAATGTTTATCCAATTGTAGAGACTTTTGAATTCGAGGAATTTCCAAAAGCTTTTGATAGAATGGAAAAAGGCCAAGCCAAATTCAGATGTGTTGTAAATGTTGGAAAATGGGCTTAAGCCAATGGTTTATGGAAATGAGTTTAAATCAAATTATAACAATAATATGCAAATTAGATACAACTTTTTATATTTATATACCATACTAAATTATGGTTCCAAAAATACCATATATTTATTAATGAAATCATTTCTATATTTGGATGACAATTGTCCTGTAAATTTAAATTGTCTCACTTTAATAAGTATTAACCTTTAGAGGATAAAAGTAACACAAAAATTATTTTATATGTATATTATAACCAATAAAGTCAGCAAATCAACAACATTAATTTTTTTCTATTCTAGCACATTCAAAAATAGAACCATTTGAGTTTATTCGCCTATCTGTGATGAATTTTACAATTATTTATGAGCTTATAAAATCATTACCATTTGTCATTTATTAATCTTTTGTTCTTCTCCAATTATGCTAAATTTGGTTCAAATGCAAATTATGCAGCCTCTTGTTTACTTACTTTTTATTATTCTAATAGGTTAAATGTGGTTTGAAAATATATCCTGAATGGATATAGGAAGTAATAATAAAAGAATTACACGTTAAAGTTATGACAACGATAAAATATAGGAAATAGAACTGAACAGAATTTTGATGATATTAATGCTCAAATTGAAATAAAATATCTTTTTCATATTTTATTTAAATGACAGCAAATATTCTCTTTGTAATTAATTTTATTATAATGATAAAGATTTAAAACTATATATTTATGCTTTTCGGATAGCGAAATTTGTAGCGTTATATCATTTTCCTTTGGTTTAGCATAAGATTCCATTTTGAAATGTTTTCTGAATTGATAAGGATCTAAATCAAGCAATTGTTTTAAGTATTGAATCGTATATCTTGAAGAAAAATTATATTTTTTATTTATCAATAAACGATCTAGATAATTATTGCGTAAATTTGGAAAAATACTACTACATATGCTACTTTAATAGAAAAGATTTTTTTTGTACTAATAAAATTGAATAATTGAAAAACAAGCTATGATGCAAGCTTATATGAGTTGAATTTCATTTATAAAGCTCCCTTTTTTTAATAATTTTATAAATTTTACTAATTTTTTTAGCCTTATGATTTTATCTATTAATAAATACTTATTAAGTTAATTTCTTAGCATGAAAAGTCGAGTAGAAAAATAGTATATCCTTTTTTTAAGCAATTATATAATATTTCATGAAATCTTAATTTTCAAATTGATAAATATTATCCTGAATATGAATTAGGATTATTAAGATATATTTTAAGTGGAAGCAATCTTTCTCATTCTAATTGTTTTTGATTTGAAAGGATGAAGTTGATATATATATCAAAGAAAATTGATAAAACAGTAATTATATTAAATTTTATATATTTAAAATATATATATTAATTAATATTATTAATAGATTTAATAAAAATCAATGGTTGATTGCAATATTTGCTTCTGTAATTATAAAGAAGAAGAATGCTTCACACTTCCAAATTGTCTTCATCAATTTTGCAAAGGTTGCCTATCTGAATAACTTAAAACAAAAATATTATCTCAATAAATAGATCTATCTGATTTTAAGTGTCCCTAATGTGGTCGACTGTTTAATCCAGAAATTATTGAAAATTTCATATCACCAGAACTATTTAAAAAATATTGTGATTTTGCATTGCAATTTAATAGAATTATGGGATTAGAAGATCATGAATTACTTACAAATTGTTTAAATGAAAAATGTGTTGAAAAATTTATAATTTGGAAGGATGCAGGTGTATCAACATAACATAATTTTAGAATATATGCAATGTCCTACATGTAAAATGAAATTTTGTCGAAAATGTTCCCTTGAATATCATGCAGATAAGGGAATATCATGCGAATAATAAAAAGAACTGCATAAGGATTAGTTTTATATTGAGATGAAGAAAAATTTAAAAATATGTAGATGTCCTAAGTGCAATAATATGTGTGAAAAGATTTCTGGATGTAATTTTATGTATTGCAGATGTAAAGCTAATTTTTGTTTTCTTTGTGATGCCGAGCTTACAGAAGCAGTAATTTTTAATTTGATAAAAGTACCATTCATCACATTTTTAAAAAAACGATCCATATAATAGCCCTTGCAGAGTTTGGTATAATGGAACTTGGGTGGATCCAGATAAAGTTCCTAAAGTTGAGCCTGTGAAAGAGGAAGTCAAAATTGTTTAAGTTATCCCAGTTGAAGAAAAAGAAAACAAAATTCCTTGTCCAAACTGTGGTAATAAAAATAAAGAGGTGAGTCAACTTTTATTTTTCGATAAAGTTGTATAATGTTAAAGTGTCAAATGTTAAAATTCTACATTTTGTATATCATGCTAGAAATAAGTTTCTAATAATGATATCATAGGTCATTTTCATCAATAGACATTATTATGCAAATTTATATGAATATTAAAACAGAAATTTTATCTTAAAAAGTTTTCACTTCTAATTGAAATTCAGTCATATTTACCCACGAATATTTGTTACTTTAATGTGGCTGCATATTTAACTTTCTACTCACCTATTGTGATTAATTTTTCTTGACATGGTATGCCTCTCCTTTCACTCCTTAAAAAAATTTAATAAATCCAACAATTTTTTTGCGATATTTTTCTATGGCTTTCACAATCTTTATATTTAACTTTTGTGGTATTTCCAGGATCATTCTCCTTTAACTTCTTCTGCCCTTTTATTGAATGCAATCTTAATTGTAAAAAGCTACATCTCCTATTAGTAATAATGGAACTTCCATCTTTTTTACTAAAAGTTCAAAAATTGGTGCATGAGCTGATAGGTTTAAAAAAATAGCTTAATTGAATTAACATACATGTTTTAATATTGTAAGAGTTAGTAAATATTTTATAACAAGCAATCTTTTTAAAACGTTTTAAAATATTTTTCATCATCTAATCCTAATTCAAAATCTATTTATTATAATTTTAATCAACAATCATTTAGTTTACTCTAAAAAGGTTACAACTATATAAATTTTATGGACTTTTTTAAGACAAAGAAAATATTCTTGATATATTGTCATATTTAAAATAGGGTTTTTTTGAAAATTACAAAAATTGTATTAAAAATATTTAAGATTTGTGTAAACAAAATTTTAACTTAAAATTTATTATCATACGCCTTCTTTGAGTTATTTTTTATTTTATTATTTAATGTAACTTTACAAGTAGAAGGATGTATGAGAATGATAGAATTTCAAACAAGTGGGAATGGACTTTTGTTGTTTATAAATTAATATTGAGAAGTTTCCATAATTAATATAACTAAATCTCGAAAATATCACTACTTACTAATTTATAAAAGGATTCAAACTTTTTTTATAATTCGTTATTAGATATCTAATTCAAATTTAATTTATATCAAAAAGGTTAGTTTTATATTCTTTTTATAATGGGACTAATAATTTGCCTCGTCCTCCTTGATCTAATTTGTTTAATGGTCACAATTATTATTTTTGTTCAAGTGGCTTCCTAAAAATACTACTTGTAACCCAAACTCTATCATCATTTTCATATTTTATAGAGCGGGTTATAAATTAAATTATAAAAATACAATCAATATTAATTAATTAGAAAAATTATAATAGAATTCCATGGTTGATTGCAATATTTGCTTCTGTAATTATAAAGAAGAAGAATGCTTCACACTTCCAAATTGTCTTCATCAATTTTGCAAAGGTTGCCTATCTGAATAACTAAAAACAAAAATATTATCTCAATAAATAGATCTATCTGATTTTAAGTGTCCTTAATGTGGTCGACTATTTAATCCAGAAATTATTGAACATTTCGTATCACCAGAACTATTTAAAAAATATTGTGATTTTGCATTACAATTTAATTCAATTATGGGATTAGAAGATCATGAATTACTTACAAATTGTTTAAATGAAAAATGTGTTGAAAAATTTATAATTTGGAAAGATGCAGGTGTATTAACATAACATAATTTTAGAATATATGCAATGTCCTACATGTAAAATGAAATTTTGTCGAAAATGTTCCCTTGAATATCATGCAGATAAGGGAATTTCATGTGAAAAATAAAAAGAATTACATAAAGATTCGTTTTATATTGAAATGAAGAAAAATTTATAGGTATGCAAATGTCCTAAGTGCAATAACATGTGTGAAAAGATTTCTGGATGTAATTTTATGTATTGCAGATGCAAAACAAATTTTTGTTTTCTTTGTGATGCCGAGCTTACAGAAGCAGTAATATTCAATTATAAAACAGTATCATTTCTCACATTGGTAAAATAATGACCCATTTAAAAGTCCATGCAGAGTTTGGTATAATGGAACTTGGGTGGATCCAGATAAAGCTCCAAAAGTAGAGCCTGTGAAAGAGGAAGTCAAAGTTGTTTAAGTGATTCCTGCTGAAGAGAAAGAGAATAAGATCCCTTGTCCAAGCTGTGGTAACAAAAATAAAGAGGTGAGTCAACTTGTATTTTTTGATAAAGTTGTATAATGTCAAAGTGTCAAATGTTAAAATTAAGCATTCTGCATTTTTTGTTTAAAACAAGTTCAGGTCAATGATGTAATAGGTCACTTTAATCAATAGACATTATTATGTAAATTTAAATGAATATTAAATCACATTAGGAATTTAAAGTTAAAATATTTACAAATAACTATGTGGTTCTTTTTATTTTGTTGATACAACCCTTAAATATTTTCTTACCCAGTTACAAAAAGACCCTATATTTGAAAGTGGCTTCATCAAATAAATATCTGCCAAATTTTTATAAATAGAATTAAACAAATTCTCTGTTATTTATATTTCTAAAAAAATACATTTCATTCCTTAGAATAAGAGTATTAAATTAAAGAAATGCAGTCATTTATGATAAAGTGTAACCAAAAATTTTGAAAAATCTAATGCAAATTGTAATTTATTGAAAATAGTTTTTGATTATATAATTCATGATATTAACTACAAATTTATTAATTCAACAAATAGATATTTCATTCTAAATAATTTATATAATTATTCCCTTTCAAAAACTGATCAACATCTATAATATGTAGATTATCATCCATTCTTTTCATGTCTCTTAAATTTGATTACTCATTTTTTGCACTTATGAAATTACAATTCATAATTTCGCTCTCAAACCGCATACTATGAAATTCTTCCTGATTTTCATCATTTTTATAAATTGTTTCCTTTTTGTCATTCAAAATTATAGTTGATCCTTATGTTTTAAATGAGACATCAATAAAAAGGGAAAGAGTTGCTTTATCTGTTACAAATGGTCTTTTTCTCCATACACAAAGAAAATCATGTCCATTGATATTTTGACTGAAATCTAATTTTTATTGCATTTAATTTACGCCTAATTTCTAATGGTTTATTTCTTTATCTGCCCAAATGAACTCCCACACGAAAAATATTTTCAACGTTGTAAACTTGAAAATCATAGCATTTAATATCGTATTTTATCGAATGTTTATGGTTCTTAAATCAATATAATAGCTAGTGTTAATACCTCATTAATTCTCTATAAATTTGTGACATTAAAGAATGCTCTACAATTCTCTCCAATCGCAATGGCTATAAGTCATTGATTTTTTGAAAGTATTCAGTAGTAAGTAATTATAGTTTCTCTTCATTAATAATTCTTCTCCAATCAGTGAACCCATTTAATAATCCATCTTTAGGTTCATGAGGAAATCTAGGATGAAAACAATAGTCATACCCACCAAATTTCCAAGGAAATTAAAGATTGCTTAATTCTATGGTCTCTTTAATATATTCTCTTGTTTTAGCCTTGAATACTCTTAGCATATAATTTAAAAATTAAAATTAAAAATAAAAATGAAACTCATTCATATTGCGAAGTTAATATTTTGAGATGTTTATCCCTCCTTATTATTTTGTATTAACTATTAAATTCTTTCGAAGCATTAACTTAATTTTATTTAACCTGATCGTATTTCTTTTCCTTAATCTTTAAAGTGTTATAATCAAATGAATATTATCTTAGATGAGAATAAATTGCATCTGTTACTATTTAGACTTTTTATTTTTATTCGCTTTCCTTTTGTCTTGTGCTTTTAACCAATTATTCAAATGTCAAAGGATTATTCTATACATGGTAATTATGAAAATATTGCAAATCAGTTTATTGAAATACTATTTATGATCAAATAACATGTACCATGAAAAAATTAAGATTTAGATATGAACAACAAGAAGCAATCTGTTTTCGCATCAATGGTTTCATTTCTTTTTCTGTCTGAATCAAATTCAGAATCCAAAATATCATAATAACCAACTAATGAGCCAGCTTTATATTCTATATTAAATGATAATGTTCTTGTGATGGTTTGACTCATCCACTTTTTTTAATTCTAGAGATAAACAAAAACTTACTATTGGCCATCTATTTTAGTCTTCTAAGTCCATGACTACAGTCTTTGCCAGAACCCCATGTTTAACGATATAAAGATGATCAACTAAATCACCAGCACTATATAAGTTCTCATTAGGAGTTAAGTATTTGCCTTAAAGAGCATTGCAAAATTTTTTTAGTTTTTCCTCCGAAAAATGGGCAAATAATTAGAGACTTCTAATAAATTGTTCCTATTTTACACTTTCCGATTTCATAATGTTATTAAGGATTGTGACATAATCAATTCGATTTAAGATTAGTAGATGAGAAGAACCAATTGATTTCAAAGTAGCATTTCTAGGTTAATCATTATCTAAAGCATTTCTACCTATTATATTTTTAGGTCCCAATTTTTTATTTTTTCCTATTACTTCAACAAATCCATCAAAAATTACAAACATGCAATCGCCTTTATCACCTTTATTACATATAATTTCATTCTCCTCATAAGATTTTGCAAACAATCTACCAGATATCTGCTTCAACATTTGCATAGGCATCAATCGAAAAAAATCTAGTTTCACCAGATAATTAGCAACGATTTCTTTCAACTCTTCTGATCTCTTGAATGGACTTTTATATTTCAAATTCATACTCTTATTCACAGATTGAAAAGACTTTAAGATGATAATCGAAATATTTAGATTTTCGAAGCTTAGTGAAATCTGTCCTTCCTTTTAACCAATTAGGGAAGTCATACTTATCCAATTATGCTGATTAACACACCACAGGTGTAACAGTATCAACGTCATAAAAATTCATAACTGTAGAAGTTTTGGTTGGTTTCACATGGAAAATTTTTCTGAATAATTAGAGTTTGGCTTCTTTTGAAGGAGAAAATGGTTTGTAGGTATTTAAGTCTTATTTAGGAGTTGAGAGTTAAGTAGTTCTAAAAGTTGAATTGGTAAGATGCTTTTTGGATTCGAGACTAACAGATCGTCTTTGGTTCATCATAAATATTAAAATTTTATTTTAAATAAAGACAAAATCTATGTTAGAATTCTTACTATGACTTTTTATATATCATTGTTATTTGTAGTTACATATTCTTATAAAACTTATTTATAGAAGAATGATTGTTAATAAAAGATTAAATATATTTATATAATAGATTATATGTAGGCACGAACTAATAATACTAAAAAAATATGTTCATATAATAATAAAAGACATTATATTGAACTCTATATTTAGATTGCAAATAAGCATGAAAATTATAATTTATTCATTACTCTTTAAAAGAAATGTATTTACAAGATACATATAAATATGTAAATTTGATATAATCATTTAATTTGACCTCTAAAAAGTAATTTAGAGAAGTTAAATAATTATCTAAATGGGGGATAAATCGAAATGAATTTAATTTTATATAGTCTAATGTAATTTGAATCTTGAGTTGAATGAGGCATATTTAATAATAAGAATCTACACTTAAAATAAAATGACTAAGGGGTGGAATATTTCATAATAAATATTACTTACGTGAATGTCTTAACCATGAGTGTTAATCTATATATTCTCATAATTAAATTACGTTAAAAAATGAATACGGTTTGCCAACAGAAAACTGCCACTCCTTGTAGGTTTGAAACTACACAATCATATCTTCTTGAATAGTCACCTAAAATATTATACAGAAGAGTGAATTCTCCAGGTTTACCTGATTGCTCTTTTAGAAGGAGTCACAAATCATCAGTTGATAAGCGAAATTACATGACTTTAGGTTAAATGGACATCTAATAATTATTGAAACCTACACGATCACTTGAGGAAAGTCCTGAACAAAAATTGAAACCTTATTATGAGAAAGAGGAGGACGCCCTCGATCATCATTAGCATTCATTCAATCCATAATAATATATGAGTATAAAGGAGGATAAGGAAATTTAATATGAAGAATAACCATTTGAATCTCCACCAAAAATGGAAGTGTTTTCAAAACCTTAATTACGAAAGGAAATGAAAATGGTGGATAAAATTGAAAGTGATAAGGTCAGTCTTGAGATATTTATGTCTGAATAGGATGAGAACTCACTTATTTTTACAGGTATTACCAAGAAATTATTGCCATCTCCTGAAGAAAATAAATAGATCTTAATGCAGAATTTACAATAATTATTTACATCAATCGATAAAAGTGCTAACTAAAATAAATTCTAAAATTATATAAAGATGGAATCCTTAGAATAATCTGTATTCCATCAGCATTTGAATAAATCAACTTAGCAAGATTTTCTCTCTGTCTCTTCTGCATAATCCATTAAATAATAAAAATGCTCTTCTTAAACTAATTTCAGACGAAGTTCAGCTGTTGCACCAAAATAACAATCAAAATGGAATAATTCAACCAAAGCTGATAAAATGAAAAACAATTGCTTTTCTAATAAATAATCAAAAAGTCCCTTTTTAAAAGCTTAAAATTAAAAAATGTCTATTAGTAAACCAAAGTTATAGCAAATAAATCTAAATATCTAGTCTCCTCAAAAAATGCCACTTCATAAAAACTAACACCAAGCTCAATAGAATAGATCAACTGTACAGAAAGTAAAATCTTTTCATATAACTCCTGAAAAAATAGATGATTGCATTTACGATGAAAGATTTTATAAATGATTTATTATATATGTATAACCATAATACTTCACTTGATTTAAATAGCTCTTTAACCATTTTACAATTTTGATTAATCCTGAAACTTGTTTTACTAAAGAATGAGAACTTCAATTTTCATAAATCCTAGTGATAGGTCACTAAAATCCGATTTAAATTAGGAAAACCAAATCTTATATATATGTTTAAGTCATATAAATAATAAAACATATAAGAAATCATCAATATGCATCTGTCGAACAATATTACTAAGTGAATTTGGTATTTTGATTTAAATAAAATTGCTATTGCTTTGATATGATATGATTTTGAATAAAATTGGTTGTAGATAATGATAACATAAAAATTGAAAAATTGTTTGCATTATTATAAATTAAAATTTCCAACAGCATAAAACATGCAGATGAATTCTGAATAAACCAAATAGTTGAAAGAGTGGAGATTGAAATACTTAAAGTTGAATCCAATATTGCTTATCTTTATGGGTATGACTATGAAACTAATTCAGGATTGGTATTGATTGCATTTGGAATTGTATCATAAACAGTTGACATAGATTATGAATATATATCAACCAGATATGATGAAATTTGTGCTTCAAAGAATTCGTGTTTTGTAAATTAAGTAATCAATAATTGTAGATCAATATTGATGTACCATCTAAAATGAAATCTCCTGTATTTTTTTCATACGAGGTTTCCTCTTTCTTCTAAAACACAGACAAATATTTTAACAGCATCCCCTATGATTAATTGTATGGAGACTCAGATTTTGATACTTCAATCTGTGATCAATATAAAACCAATCAAGAAATGGGGAAAACTTTGAGTGTTACTGGTAAAGCTCTAGCACAAGATGACATAGCAATACCTTGTGGCATAGCTGCGTATTCATATATGAATGGTAATCCTGAAAATTAAATTATATTTAAGATGAATTTTCGTTGAATAAAGATGGTAAATAAATTTCAATCACCGATCAAGGTATTTCATGGGAATCGGATAGAGAAAAGTATACGAACATTAACTTGGATAAGCAGTGGATAGACATGGAATCAGGTGATTATCTTCATTTAAATTAGAAAGATTTATAAATTGGATGAGACCATCTCCATTAAGTAGGTTTCGTAAATTGTGGGGAAGAATCGATTAAGATTTGGAACCAGGCATATATACAGTTAACATTCAGATTAGTAAATACTAACATTGATTTAATATTAGAAACCAATGACGCCTTTGCAGAAACTAAGAAGTATGTACTTCTACACAATAATGGATAATTCTCAGATCCTATCTTAGTAATAACGCTACCGTGTCTCTGTGTTGGTCCATTCTTGATTATTTTTGGGATCATCAATTTGATTTATTGGGGGAAAAAATAACATTTGATCAAAAAATACAGAATTTATTGATTGCCTTACTTATTCCCATAATATAAGTTCTTATTAATAATAATAAATTAATAGCAAAAAAATGTTCACTATTTATACCTTCTTTGATCAAAGATTAAATTAGATTAAATTCTACTCTAATCGCAACTAGAAGGAAATAACAAAAAGCATCCAAGCGTTTGATCCCTAATGTATTCTTAAAAATGCATTAGGTTCATGACCTTGGAACATTAACAATATAGTATATTTTTTGAATTCAAATTCAACTTACATTCCAATTTTTATGATCAGCATGTCTAGTATAATGATTGGTTATATTTGATTTAATCAGCTGCAATCTTAAAATGTCCTGGCTCTTTGAACATCTTTGAAAAAGAATAATATAATTATTTCCAAGATAGGATTGTAATCAAATAGTTTTTGGTATTGAATTTTTTGGTTTTTCGGCAATAAGGAATTTTATACAAATTATATATCTCCATCTTAAAGATAATTAGATTCTAATTCAATTAAGGAAGAAGGCGTTATATTCTGTATAATTCAGACAACTATATCTTAGCAAATAGATGAAAGGGAGATTTCAATAGGGAGTGGATTCAAATGAAAATAAGAATCTATTAGAACTATAGGGAATCATTTTAGAAATGCATTTATTAATATTAATGAGTTATCAAAATCATTCTTAAAAGTTTCCATTTGATAATTCAACTCAATAAGGGTAACCTCAAGCACCCATGTTTTAGTAGGTTTACAACTCTCAACAACATTAAATATATGGATTTGAATAATAGCAATTCCCATAATTGAATCAAAATGGGTATGGCTTTTATGCATCGCCTCAAAGTAATAAAGTTAATTGTATGTTCAGTGCCATAATATTACATTCCTCCTTAACCGCCAACACCTCTTGATAGTATAAGCAGTAATAGTATTAGTTTGAATGGTATTTGAATTTTTTGTATTATGTATATTCAGAAGAGGGAACAAAAAAGAAGAAGGCTGGTAAGTCAGATAAATCAAAGAAGGACAAAAGGAAGAAGAGAAAGAGAGGTTTTATTGTTATTCCTATTATTGAAAGCGAGTAATAGTAGTTCTTCTTTTAGTAGTAGTGATTCTAGTATTAGCAGTAGCAGGAGCCATAGTAAGTATGATTATATTATATACCTAATCTTTTTGTAGACAAAAGAAAACACATTTTTCCTTTTTACATAATGAGGATAATTGGAAATGCAAGTATTGTTATAATATCAATTTCCGTCATCGTACGGAATGTAACAGATGTAAGAAGAGTAGAGAAAAGGCTGCAAAAGTATTCATAATTTCTCTAAAGTCTTTTCTTAGAATGAAAAAACCAAGAGGTATGTTCCAAATCCAAATGATTGGAAATGTTACAGTTGTGGAAATTTCAATTTTGCTAGAAGAAGGAGATGTAATAGATGTAAAAAAGACAAGTCATCAGCTTCAATACCATAATATTCCGATTGATATAATTAAGCAAACTGAAGTATTTTTCTTAGCATTTCTTATATCAAAATATTTAATTGTATTTCTCATTCAGCCTTCTTTCTATTTACGTAATGCATAGCCAAGTTCACTACAATCTGAGAAATTCCTATTAAGAATAAATTGTATCCCAAATGCACATACTCTAATAACGTGGCCTGTATAATCACAAGTGCAATCGAAAGATTTTAAAAGCAAAAGTAAATTCCATACACAGGCAGAGCATCCTTATATTTTTCTGAAATTGTTATTGCAGAATTGAACTATCCACTTATGTCAGCTAGTCCTCTAAAATAAACTATAAATTTACAAGAAGAATCCAAGAATTATAGTTATGTTGAAACTATCAATGAAGGATTCTACTAATGCCAAAATAACAATAATGCTTAGCAAATTTGTGTAAAGCACTATACTTGTTTATGATTTTAAAGTTTTCTTTATAATTCCATTCAATAAAGCTCCTAAAGTTTAAGCAATTCCTACGAATAAATAGACTTCAGCTGTTTTCTCATTAATAGTTTATTCATCATAGTCATTCTTTTCCAATGATTTATTTATAAATTAATATAGTAAACCATATTCGAATCCAATTATTACTCCTGTCATCCAGAATAATGGATAATATATGTAAGTACTCTTATCCAAAAACACCTTATACATGTCCAGAATATTTTATTTTATTGAATCTTCCTCTTTATTAGTTTCCTTTTCTATTTCTGAATCATTGACTTTAGCACCACTCACGAGCATTTCCATCTTCTATGGAGTTCGGATGAATGAAAATAGCATAGATAATCCCAATTCTATGAAACCAGTCACCCAAAAAAATGTCGACCTAGATACCAGCCTCAGCATTAACTTAGAGTAAAACCCACTTAGCATAGATGATAGCCCCATTAGGATGTAGGTTGTACTAAACATTATCTCAGATGATTCTGCTGTTGCACATTGACTTACATAATAGTTTTATACAACAAAGTATCCTCCTAGTCCTGCTCCTAAAATAAAAGTAAAAATTATGCTTATTGGACTGAGAATCTGAGGCTTACATATCCATGCGCTATCATCACCGTTTCGGCAATTTGTAAGATAACTACAATTTCTATTAAATATACTCAGAAGCAAAAAAGCTAGGCACCACTAGTAAAGCTTGAAAAGTAAATGCTATATTGAATTTTCTGTTTTTTAAGTAAGCAGGTGAGAGTATATTAAAAATGAATTCTGCCATATAGATTGCCAAAATCGAATAATTGCCCAAATCCACATAACCATTCTATTCCGCGATTTACGGTAATAATGCTGTCAGAGCTAAGCATAAACTTAAGTGCATCATCAAAATTGAATTCATGTAGAATAGTTTCCAAAAGTTAGTTGGAATTTTCATATATATCGTATTCTTTATATTGATACATCTTAAAATTTATTTACGGTAATTTATACTCAACAAATATGTATTATGAATCGAATGTAAAGTAGAAGACAAGGATATTCAAAGTAAATGCATAAATTGAACCATTTTATAAAGTTTAATAAGCGTGTATGAGTAAGATTAGTTAATAATTGAGTTAAAACTAGATTTTCATAATTTTATTAGGATACTTTATATTATTTTATTTAAAAAATTAATGTCTTAACTGAAAAATCAAAAAAACCCTGCAGGATATGAGAATAACTTTCATTAGTAGGGACCTAATGAATAACAAATAATTAGCCATTAATCGAAGGTTCTCTCAGAGGAATCGCCTTTTAATGTTTCAAAAATATTAAAAGCAAAGTAATAACAAAGCAACATTTTTCATCTCCCTTAAAAAGATTAGATTCAGATTAAGGCTGTAGCTAATTAAAATGCTGAAAGTAGTATTTAAATTTAAATTAGAACTGCTTCCCTATGACATTTTTTGGTGGAATAGTTAAAATGTAAAGGGTAATCAGAAATCTGATCAACTCTCCTATTAAATCCCTAATTCTCAAATTATTCAAAGCAGACCTTAAACCAGTCCCCATTAAAGAATTGAACATGAGTAAGTTCCTAACTATTCTGATCTAACAGAAGAACAATTTTTATAAATGTAACAGCAATAATACTAATTATTTCTGCAATAACATCAATAACAACAAAAGCACTAATCTAAGTCATAAGAATAACAGAATGGAAGATAAAAACAATATGATCTCAACGTAGATTAAAAGCCAAATGCTTATAACTTAATGAATGAAAATAATTAGATGATATAAACTGCCTCATTCAATGAGAAACAAAAGTCGGTGGAACCATAACCTTAAGAAAACGAAGTTAAGAAATAATAAAAACAAGAGAAACAATAGTTTAAAAAGGATCAGAAGAAGTAGATTTTGAATTAATTACAGAATCCAGAGAAATTATATAATAAAATTAATAATCCAAACATTGAATTGAAATAAAAAAACCCAAATTTTTCTGATGTATTCGGCAATGGATTAGAAAAATATTATCAATAAAAGCCTTAATAAACATCTGTGAAAAGACCTCAATAAGATTAATTGTAGGAAAGTGAATTATATGGAGTAAATTATCATCAGAGATAATTGTTGAAAGGCATGAGTTCATAAATGGACACCCATAAATATTACGATCAAATGTTGGATAAGCAAAATTAAAATCAAATTAAATTATAGCAACCAAAAAGTGCATCAAAATCACCTTAAGGATCTCCAGGAAAAACACTTGAGAAGGATGAGACACTCTTTACCAAGAGTTTTTATACAGAACTTACAATAAGAGGAATGGGCAAAGAGGTTAACTGGGAAAAATTGACAAACCAACTCAACATACATTAAATGAATATTGTTGATATTGATGTTGTTAAAAATAAGCAAGGGTAAATCAAATAGCATAAGATTATCATAAAACATTTGGATTCAGCAAATCTATAAAATGTGAAATCATGGGTAGTTACTCAAGGAGGTAGAATAGTTGAAGAAAAACAAATCAAGTAGGATGAATTTTTAAGACTCTAATAATTAAAAGAAGGATCTAAAAAGAGGCCATTAAAGATTTCCGAAGAAAAAGAAAAATTGAAATAATAATAAAGGAAGAGACCAGCCAGTGCTATTCCAAGTTAAAAATAGAAGAAATGATAAAAATCTGATTTAATTTTCAAAATTAAATTAATCATTATGTTAACACTATTAGTTAAAAAAGAAGCGGAACAAAATTCTTGCGTTCTTCTAAAGATAAAAAGGGTAGCAATTTCTGATAATAATTTTACCCGTGTTTTTCTACATCCTCTAAGGGTTTTGTATTCAATTCACTCTAATTAAACATCATATTACTTTAATAATATTTTGAAGGCTTATTGTGTTTTATTGGCTCCTAATACTTATTCTAATAATGTCCTTAATTGAAGTACTCCATTAGATTTTCCAAGGAAGGATAATTGACTTGACTCACTTACAGGTTATACACTGTCTTAGACTTCCTATTCTTCTTCTTCAACGAGTATTTCCGCTTAGCCTTCGCTTTCCATAATTCTTTTTTTGGTTTGTTCAAATTACTCATCAATATCTTCCTTTTCAATTAGCTAATCATATAAATTATGATTTTTACAGCTTCTTCCATTTTTGCAAAGATTTTGGCATCTTCACTAGCATTTTTATCGTCAGATTAATCAAATTTAATTCCATAGTCCATTTGTACTTCATCTTATTCTGTATCATCATATTCATTTATGTTTTCAAAACTTTCAATTTTTTACTAAGGTTATTACTATTTTAACTATTATTGGGAAGGTTATTATTGTAATAATGGTTTTTAAAGGGGTTGTTTTTATTGCAAGGAGGGTGAACTAACATTGTTGGCTAATTTAGACTTCTTAGGATTTTGATCAAGTTGCGAATCTCTTTTAGTTTATGGAATTTGATTGGTTGATTGAACTTGATCTACTTTCTTTTTGCTGTCATTTTTAGCAAGATTAATGATGGGGTTGTTTTTTGAGACTTGGATATTATTTTTTTTCTGTATTTGATTCTTTTGTGGAGTAAAAGATCTTTCTCTTTTGGAAGGAAGTGGTTTCTAAGGTTATTGTACTTATTTAGGCTGGGAAGGTTTTGGAGTATTTTGAATGTTATTTGGAGTAGAGTTGTTGGCTTTGACAAGAGGAACTGGGTTTTAGTAGATGGGTCCACTGGATTATTGGTTAACTAGACTGGGAGGTTTGGGTAGATCGTCAAGAACTTTAATTTCATCTATTTTGGTAGCTATATCTAATCTCTTGATTTGAAACAATAATTTTACTTGATTATGCAATACGGTATGGGAGAATTCATTTTGTTGAATGCTTTGACTCAGAAATTCCTTAATTCTTTTGACAATTAGTGGGATTTCTGAAATTAAATGAATTGAAAATTACTCAATATTTTATTAATAGTTGGTCTTCTGTTTGGGTTTGATTATAGTAATTGCTTGATAATGGCATTTAAGTCGGATGAGTAGATGGAGGAGATATTGGAGAAACTGCCTTTGCAAATTTTTAGACAAAGGAAAGGCAGACTCTCAGCTTCAAAAGGAGGTTTCAACATGCACATCTCATACAGGACAATACCTACCGACCAAATATCACTCTACATTAATTGATTTAAATACTGCGTATGAATAAGGTTTAGATTCTATTATTTCTGGAGAGAGATAATAAGGTGTTCCAATTTAGGTTTTTGCATTCTCTAAGGTGTGTGACAGCACCCTGGCAATTCCAAAATCACCCAACTTAATGCGATTAGTTTTGGTAATGAAGATGTTCTAGCATTTCAAATCTCGATGTAGGATTTTACGATCGTGAACATGCTTAAGAGCCAAACAAATTTGGGTAAACCAATCCAAAATTTAATTCTCTGAGAGTTGCTTTCCATTCTAGTTCTTAAGTATTTAAGCTAAGTCGCCTCCTAAATAGAATAGGGAGATAAATTTACTATCAGCATATTCCATGATGATGCAGAGTTTCCCCTAGGTCGTAATGTACACATCTCTGAACTTGATGATGTTGGGATGCTGCAGTTATTGTAGCACTTTAAATTCCCTGTAGGTTTCGATCTTCTCTTTTTCTGTCATCGCATTAATGTCGATTTATTTTTAAACCCATAGTGAACTTACAATAAATCAAACCTTCATACCCATCCTTTACATCCTTCACCAAATAAGCTTTGCCATAAGCACCCTCTCCAAGCGGTTTGATTCTGCTGTACTAAGTATATTGCATGTTAACTGCTTATAATTATATATATATAATAATAAAAAGTCTTTTTTGATTTTATGAAATTGTACTTGTCAAAGATTTTGGATAAATTCTGTCTTAAATTATTCAATCTTTTAAAAAATATCTAATTCTCATTAAAACATCTGACTGTTAATATTTTTATTCGATGTAGCAACATTACCCTTAACCACTTACACCACAAGCATATCATTAACCTCAGAGACATACCTCCAATTCTCCTCACCAAAGAGTTGTTCCTCCTTTACCTCTTACACCCACCCACTCTCAACCCAAACAATACTACGACCAAGGTGATAAAGACAACCATTACTCAGCAGATATGAGACTTTAAAATAGGCAGTCCAGCAATCTCCCCAATGGATAATCTTACGAAAATATGGCCTTAAGACTCTCAGCTTTGGAGAGAGAGAATTAGAGTCTCAAGAAATAACTGGAGAATGCCAATAATCAAATTCAAGTCTTGAGCCAAAAACTGAATCAGCATCCAACTCAAAGTCTACTTAAAACAACTACCTTCGAGCTTGTTGTTCTTCAAAAAGCAGTAGAATAATTAGAAAGTTTGAAGAGTTTATTAGCAAAAAAAAAGTTGTAAGGAAGTAATAATTAAACTGCTCTCCCTGAGTCTTTCAAAGATGTGGCCAGTGAATTTAAGAGCAAAGTTACATTAGTGGAAGATAGAGCCAATCAATCAGTCTAATTATCTTAGGTATTTATATATTCCATTATCAAAGGCTAAGCTATTATTCCCAAAGGAACACTTAATCTAAAATTACTAATCCAATCCAACCTGTAAAGAAGAAGCTAAGGAAGAACCAAGATAGGCAAGGAGAATATTGGCAAATACCTAATCTGATCAAGTTGAAGACAGAATTAAAACTAGTCCAATAAAATATCTAAATGTTAAAGCTTGTGGCAATTAGATGTCTTTGAGGATATCTCCTAAGGGAAGGTCAGAAGTATCATAGTGCTGATCAGACATGTATATAAATAGTTATTCTGTCATTAAATATTCAATAGTTTTGGTTTAATTCACAGATATTCAATAATTAATTTTTATCACTAAAAAGAAATAAATTAAATTGATATAGTAACTCATTTCTTGCTTTTCTTTTTTTTTTTTGACTTTTTTTTCTTAGCAAATGGATCAACTTTCATTCCAAATCCAGGTGGCGGCAATGAGTTTCCTTCAGGATCCTTTAGATTTATTGGATCTGGAATCAATAATGCATTGACTAATTTTTAAACTGGAACAGCAACTCCCTTCTTAGCCAATCTCAATTTGATCTCTTCTATTTCCTTATCATTCAAAACAATAATTACTTATAATTAATCATAACGCACTTAATCCAAGGGTTATGCAGCCAATATTGCAGACAAAGGTCTCTTTTATTGCTGAGTTAAGGGTAATTGTTTTCCATAGATAGACATACTCTACTCAGGTTTGAGACGATTTGCTTCATCTTCTTCCTATAATCCTATGATATTGCCATGAAGCTTTTTGACTTTGTTTATATTATGCTTTGATATCTGGGACTCAAGCCCTCTAAAATCAGTATTATTCATGAATTTAGGGTCTTTTTAGTAATTAGGTAGTTTATCATTCAAATTTCGAGGTTGACAAGTTTAAGGACGTACTCTTTTAGGTTATCGTTTCTATCCATCATCATCAATCAATCCTGTTTATCCATCTATCTCGATATTGTTTTAAATCATTTCCTCTTCTTCTTCATCTGATAAATCACTTAAATCATCATCCCATTTTGGTTTATTCTTACTCAAACTTAATTGATGATTCTTTTGGATCTATACATATAGAGATATAAGTTTACTTTATCTAACTCCTTGTAATCCTTCTCCTTATTTTGTCTTTCCTTCATTTCCAACTCTCTGAATCTATTACCATAAGTGGCACTCTCTATTCTCCTATTCATTTCCCTCTCAACCCTGGCCTTATTGGAGGACCATTGATGCATCATAGCAACTAGTTCTTCATCCTCTCTTTTTTGCTGGGCCTCTTTATTTCTAAGTTTCTAGTATTTCTTCTAAACATTCAATTCATCAGGTTGATTAGAATTTTAATACTATTGAAAACCATCTCTGGTTTCGAAATCAAGGTTTCTAGGTTTCTAATTGTTTTCTACTTATTCATCATTAAGAAACACTTTTATCTATGGTTCAAGTGTCCTTTCTTTCTTTTTAGCTTCCTCTTCTTAAATGATCAATTTGGCCTCATTCTCAGCTTATCTAGCAGCCAAATCTTCTTCATTTAATAACACTTCCTCATTGTTCTCTACTAGATCTCCTTGAAATACTTCTTCGTCTTTCTCTTCAACTATGGCTTTAGGTTTGGCTGATTTTATTGGTTTTGGAAAAGTTGATTTCATCTTAATTTTATCAGTATTATCCACTGCACTTAAAGGTCTGGGTGCTTAAAAATTCTAGATGATCCTTCTTTTGTAATTTGTTAATCTTTGGTCTGGAGGAGGCATTGAATCGTGCTTTGTTCTAAATCCATTTTAATAGTCATGTAATTAATCTTAAATTATGTCTCCTGGGAGTAAAGTTCCTTTGCTGTATTGAGATTCCTTCTTTAATATATTTTAAATAAATTAAATACCATTTAATCAATACGAATAGTACCAGTAACACCAGAGTCAGGTCTATCTGGATGAGTTTATTCAATAGTGGTTTCTGCATATCCATCTATCACTGTAGTTGGATATCCAGATTATGGTCGCATACTTTTGATTGTTAGAGCACTCTGAGGTCTTTTAGCTTAAGTTACACTACTATATGGTCTCTTAGTTTATCCTGTTGGTGGTCGAGTGGGTGCCGAATCACTGTCGAGTTTACGACTTTGATAATCAACTTTGGTTATTGTTTCCAATGCCCAATTGTAACATCTTTTTATGAATTTAGCCTGTAACTCTCTATTACGAGTGAAAAATGATATCTCTCTGATTATGCTGGCAAGAGAACGAAAAAACTATAGTCTCCACATTCCATTACGTATTCTTGCATTCCTTTGCTAGGCATTTAAGACCTGATGAACTGAAGACAGTTACTTCTGCATTAAACATCTCAATCATGGTTATCATACCTTGGTACTCCTCATTATTATCCAAGAATGCTGATTTACACTTATCAACAGTAACTGTTTCATAATAATGCATAGTTTCCCAAGTATTTACTTTGTAATTTTCCATCATCTATTAATGTGAAACTATCCGCTCTTAGAGTTATTGAAATTCCTCATAAGTATAGTCTCCTCTTCCTTCGAAAGGCAAGACTTCAAACATCAATGGCACATCATCATCATCAAATTTAATGACCGAGTGATGAATGGGTTATGATTATTGAAGCATTATTTATTAATAATAATAATAATTAATATCAGATGAATTTTTTATCTAACTTGTATTTTATCTAATCTTTCTCTCTATTATTGGACGACTGTTGGTATTGTTCCCTCTAATTTGCAACTATAATTCAATACAGAACATTACTCTTGTTATAGGGCGTAGATTTATTGAGTGATTCAAAAAACAGTTCCCTATTAGATGGTTTGTAAGTGCTGTACAACTACTTTCTCAACTCCTCTACTCTATTGGTCTCAGGAGTCTTTCTACGATCCTATAGAAATCTCTAATTCTCAGACAAAATTCCTTATTGATCGTTTTTAGAGTATATTAACTAAAATGGCTGCTTCTTGGGATTTCCTAGTTCTGACCTTGAAGCTTTTAAACTCTGAACCTATTTTGGAGGAGAACTCTGTTTCTGCTATCTGTAATTGAACAAAATGTCCTTGTTCTGTTCTTCAACTATAAACTCTTACATTGATGATTACCTTTTGGTTTAATGTAGTTAAAGTTTAATTTAGGTGACGCATCTCTTCTGACGTAATTATTAGAAAGATCCTTACTTTATTCTCTATTTCTTAAGATTGATATCCCATCTCCTACTCTACTTTTATTGTTTCTCTTGTATTGTTCCAATTCCATTCTGAGTTTCTCGATATCAAACTTTGAATTGTTATTCAAATAAGGCTACAGTTTTTATGATGGATTTTTCACCATGTTTTTATCATTTTGATATTCAAAGGAAGTGAATGGTCTATAATTCGAAATGTAATCGCTAGCATTTTTGGATAATTTTGGCTACTCATTATTTTTGGGACTAAAAAAGGAATGCTATTATTGATTAGGAAACATCCATGTTCTATCCACATCTATTAGACTTTATTTTTTTGAAAAAGCAGTTGGACTTTATTGTCTCTTCTACACTTAGACTATGTCATTCAAGTAAAACTTTCTTTTTTAAGATTGTTCCCTATCATGCATAGACGAGTATTGCTGTTTAGGTAGATATTAAAATGAGTTCACTTGTTGTTGAATATCATTTGAAGGAAAACGTTTAAGTTTTTCACCTTTATCATAATTCAAAAATGAAGGCACCTTGCTCAATTAATGATTAGCAAAGGGCTTATATTCGTCAGGTGATCTCTAAGGCATCGGTCTTTAGTAATAAGAGTTGTAATATCTCCCTTGTCCACTGTCAGTAGATTTACGTTCTGCTGGCGATTGTCGATCATAAATATTAAAATTGAATTGCTTTTTCCGATCAAGATAATTTGAATCCAACAGGTAATTTGGATTCTAATTCTTCAACATCACACGATCTTCGAGTCTTTTGGACATAATATTTATCTGTTAATTATTAATTAAGTTTTAGATATAAATAATTATATTCAATTAATAATGCTATTTTAGATATAAATTAGTAGTATATTCAATTCTTATTAAGTTGTTATAATAAATTAAATTAATTCAACTACCAGCAAGACTAACCTCATTTAATTTCGGATCTGCATAATCATCCCAACCTTGAGGTTTAATATCTTCATCCTACTCCAACCACTTCAAACGTCTGCCCCCTTCCCACAATCCCAATTAACTCTTACCATTTGACAACACGTATCTACCCTTTCCAGCCTGTTTCCCATTCACCCAATATCCCTCATACTCTTTAATTTAATGCATTTATTAATACTTCTTCCATCCGGCCAAATATAAACTCCATATCCCTGCTTCTTATCATTTATGTATTCTCCACTATATTATCTGCCATCTGGCCAAACATAAGTCCCTCTTCCATTCATTTGACTCTTTCTCCACCATCCCTCATATTTCTTAATTGATTATAAAATTTACTCTACCATCAGCCCAGTAATGAACTCCAAATCCCTCCATCAAATTGTTTGTCCAATTCCCTATGTAATATGACCCGTCATTCCAATAATACTTTCCGAACCCATCCTTCTTCCCATGACTGTAATTCCCCTCATATCTGGAATTGTCCACCCAAATCTCTATCCCATAACCATGAGGTTGATCATTCAACCACTCTCCCTCAAACTTAGCCCCATTTGCATGCAAATATTTCCCCTTACCACAAGCCTTATCCTCCTTCCATTATCCCTCGTAGTAATCTCCTCCCAAATGCCAAAACTTACCCATCCCCTCCGCCTTATTATTCTTCCAATCCCCCTCATATTTAGCACCATCCACCCAAACCTACACTCCATACCCATCTCTCTATTAGCCTATCCATTCGCCTTCATAAAATGCTCCACTTTTAAACATATGTTTGCTTCTTCGTTCTCTCTAATTGCAATTCGACCTACTTCCCAACGTTTCTAAAAGATCCTCATGATTTCTAAACGCCATTTCATTTTTCTTCCTCTAACTATCGCTGTTGGACTCTAACTATTAATTATCAAGATTACAAGAAGTTAAATTTATCTCCGTTTTCTTAACTGTTTATTATTGATTTTGAACCTCATGATCAACATGATCCTTAAAATCTAACTTCGATTCTTTCTGCTCATCTTTTAATGAATTATCTATATCATCCTCTTCCTCGTTATCTGGTTGATTAGGGGAATAATGGTTCATTGATTATTGATGAAATTCACTAATCAAAATTTCATCCTTCCTCTAACAACTCTAACAATTCGAACATTGACTCCCCATCTTAAACTACTTAGTATTAATTTAAAATAAATAATATGAAATTTCAGAGTATTAAAATAGTAATATTACTTTTATTCCCATTTAACAAAAAGCTCAAAATAATACTAATCTATAATCAAATTAAAATTTTATCATGGCAAATTTCTTTTGATGAACTTTACCAAATACAAAAATAGTAAATATCAAACTACTTAAAAATTTTAAAATTCAATGAACCCCCTCCACAATATTGGTTTTATTGGACATGATGAAGGATAGTTATCAAATATTGAGTCTCTCTAAATATTCATTTTGCTTGTTCTGAAGTTACTAATTCAAAATCTTAATGCATTTCAATTTTATCTTTCCTTAATAGTTTTATATATATGAATTTGAATTCTTTCAATCCATTCTAATAAACGCCTTATGGTTATAACGACTTAAATTAATTACCCCTCTCCCATTCAATTGAATTACTTATTTATATTAACTGATTACGAAAGAATTATAGTTCCATAATTAATTATAATTAACGACTTAAAATATGTTCCTTCTTAAAGCTATTCCAACCTTTAAGTCATGAAGATAAAAATGTTGATATATTTCTTAAATAGTCTCATTCATTACACTAAAATCTTTAAAAGTAAACTATATACAGAAATATTATCTAAGAAAATTGAGAAATTAACAAGTAAAATGAATAAAATAATAAGTATTAGCATTTCAGAATTAGAATATATGTAATAAAGAACTAATATTTTTGGTTACTTTTGATATCAAATATGATAATTCATTAATCATTAAAAAAATCTCGAAAACTCCTCTTCTAATTCATACTAATTCTTAAATTCAGCAATTCTAACAGCTTCTATTACATCATTTTGAGATATCTTTAGTGATTCGTTCTTAACCGCTAACTCTTTAGCAGTTTCTATTATTTCTTAAATGTATAGCAATGTCACATTAGCCAAAATACCTGCAGTGATATCTTCCATAATTATCCCTGGAAATAAGGCTTATATCAATTTTTGTTGGTTGTCAATGTTATCTGCTTTAGACTTTTGTTTATATTTTTTAATGTAATACTTTGTTTGGTTTATATTCAATGAAGTTATCTCTGAAACTATGATATTTTTATTCAAACTCCTTTAATCTATCTTCTTAGTTTAAATCATCTTGGAAATATGTTTCTTTTACAGTGATTTCATCAAGTCTGATTCTTTAAATTGCTTTATTTAAAAAATTTTCCTTATTTATCATTCTTAGTAAAATAAAACAAAAATTATATAAAAGTTAATCAATTTTTTCTAGTTTATAATTCTTCCTCCTATTTTAAATCATCAACTGATTATTCAAATAGATTATCGTTCGTTGTCGGATTCTTTTTAGTTATTCTAATGATTGGAACCGGTATCCATACAATCTTCTTTGGTTCATTTTAAGAAGAATCAAACAGCTATTCAAATTTAAATATGAAATTTCTTGGACATAAATAGCTGATGTTACTATCCTTTTATTATTGGTCAGATTGTTTGATGTCAACCTTTTTGTTTGGTTAGGGTTCAATGCTCTATAATTCTTATTTGCATTTAACTTCAGTTTTAAATGTTTTACTCTCCATTTCTTCTTATTTTTCAATTTCGGAATCAGACATCTTCAAATTCTATGAATATTTTAGTTTAAATACCAAAGTCATTTGATGTTCTGATATTTTATGCTTTGAATAATATCTATTCTTTACCTCGATTTCCTAAAGATGAAATGAATTTTCTTTACAGTTCGATATTTCATTGTTTATGCAATTTAATTCCATTTTGTTCCATATTATTCGAATAAAAGAATCAATTGATTATCCTCCTCCTCATTCCAAGGTCTATTTGACAATTGAAAATTTAATTAGTTAAATCTGCTTTTGATTTGACTCTGTGTTTTGTTTTTCATTATCTAAGCTACTTCACTCCAATTCTCACCATATTTCAATACTAAATCCTTTAATTGTTCATCATCTGCTTTCGACCATGCTTCCTACTATTAATTCTTTCTATGAATATCGAATTTTTACTTATAACATATGCCATCTTTAAATGCACTAAGATTCAGTTTTTCCAGCTATCGTTTCAGCTACTTTGTTCCATTGAATACCATATATGTTAATTGAATCCTTCAATTTTTAATCTTCTTCATTATTCCAGTTATTATTGATTCCTGTTTCTGATTCAATCTAAGTCTTTTACATGTTTATATTATATTTAATAATACGAATTTTAAAAATTCATTATTTCATATTCCTAAATTCCTTTCCATAACAGCTTAGTAGTTGTTTAATGGGTCATATATTATTTGCGGTTATTTTCTAAAAGGATTCTTTAATTTATATTACTAATTTGTTAATTCCATAAATTTTAAAGTTAATTTTTGTCCGTTCTAAATGGAAATTTATTTAGCTAATATTAATATATTTATAAATATGCTACTCTAAATAGTTCTCATTAAAGAAGGAGAGAGGCTTTGAATACATTAAATATAGAGGTATTTCTTTGTAAGTTTGAATTACGATGAATTAAGTTAATAATTATAACAAACTATAAAGAAACTGCTCAATTAGCAATTCTCTTTGAATGAATACTTTTAACTTTATTTTTTATATATAAGATTTCATTTCAATATAAGAATAATGTGTATTCATCAATAGCGTGAATTTTCTCAATAAAAGAAGGACAGGAATATTATAAAAGAATTAAGAAATAAATGAGTAATTGTTTATTTTAGATGGATAACTTAAATAAAGGGATTAAAAATATAGAACTCATATTTATAATAAATAGTACTCAAATGAAATCATGACAGTTATCTATAGAAACTCAATAGTTTAGTGATTTAAAGAGATCTTATTCTTTTATTTTTGGATTATTTGTGAACATTCTTTAGAGTGCTTAAAGTTTATTGTTAACAGTTCTTTTCTTCAGTTGAAAGCTTATTAGTAATCATAATTTGGGAAATGAAGATTTCTTTTTGTACATGATCGTTTGTCATCATGTTAATTTCGTAGTCTTCGTCTAGGAAGTTCTTATCTTATAATTTTAGAACAGCTTCTTCAGGAGTAAATAACAATTCGACTTCTTCTTTTTTGGAATATACTGATATGAATGATCTATTAAGATTGTTTGCGGAGGATGGTGAGGTATTGTCTATTAGATTGGATTTTTGTTGATCCAACTATTCTGAATCCATAGTCATTTTCCTTTAAAAAACTTATGAGTCTCGATCGCAAATTTGTTCACTCATATAACGACATCTCTTGTACAAAGGCGAGTCAGTTCTATTCATTCGCTGTTGCAACACTTGTTCTAGTGCTCCTTGTTAGGCTATAGTCAATTAAAAGTTTTGTTGGTTAAGAAACTTAGTTGTGATCTTTTTAACTTATAATTTGGAATCATCTATCCAATCACTTCTTTTTTTAGTATTCTTATTATAAAATAATAAACTATGTGAGACTTTATATTATTTTGTAATGAGTTCTTCTTAGAAGATGGTGGTCATAGTCATCATGGCAATTGCAGATCGTAACCAAATAGTTAATTGTTTGAGTAATGAATTACTATTTTTATTAGTTAACTGATTGGGAAGAGTGCCTTGTTATTAAATTAGACACCATTCCTCAACCAAGTAAGAGTTTCCATCATTTTCAATAAAAAATTACACAATCATTTCATTCTATTGGGATGTCCTCCAGTTGTTTTGGAGTAACTGCCTTACATTAGCATTCATTTCTTTAGTCCAAATAACGCCCATTTCTTTTGTCTAATTTTAGATGGATGACTGACATTACAAGAACGGATACGTTCTAGATGATAATAAAATATCAGCAAATTTTGTGAATAATAGTTGGAACATATTCATGACTTTTTAAATTAACAATAATAAGAATAAATAATCAAATGAACATGTGCTTTAAAATATAATCGAATAATAAATGCGTAATAATTATAAATCACTAAAACATTATTAATGAACATATATATCTCATCATTTATAATTGTTTATTTTTATTTATTAAACCAATTTCTCTAATTTAATCAAATTCTTTTGCAAATGTTATTAATTTTATAATAATAAAGTCCATATTTCTAAATGTACAAAATTAGAGAGCACATCATACTGACATTAAATAAGAGACAATTCATAAATGGGAGACATTTAAAATAAGTATATAAATAACAATCAATATTAATTCAATCAGCTAAACTTAAAGCAAGTAAATAACTGGGTATATGTTCTTTAGACTTGAGAACATCATTAAAAGTATTATTTGTAGTGTTAGCAGTGTTAGCTGTATATGTTGTATTCAAAGTAACACTCTTTTAAATTTCTGCTCTTTTTTGTGTGCCATTGTTACTATTATTATTTGTATTCTAAAGATGAGTTAATTATTTTTTAAGTATTTAATTTTCAATTCGCGATTATTTTAGTGCTTCTTGTAATTGCAACACTGTAGATTCTTTGTTGCTCGATTACTTTAGAGATGTATTTTCCTTCTTTAATTTTGATACCATTTCAGTTAATTTTGATGATTCCTTCTCCAATGCTGCTATTCTCATTAAATATTTGATCTCCCTCTGCTTGTTCTCTTCTAATTTATTTTTATTAGTTATTTCTTGCATCTATATTCTTTGCAAATTTTCTTTTTTCTCTTAGAATGCATTTGCTAAATAGCTTTACAATATATTTGTATTTTCATTCTAAGAAATATTTCGATTATCATAAAATGAATTATTCGTTTTTCTTTTACTTCGATTCACTTATGATAAAGCATATAATTTTACAATCTCCAATTGATGTATTTTGTTTTACTTTGACTTTATCTCTACTCAAAATTCTAGCACTTTTAATTGCTTCAGCTTGTATAATTTCTCTGACAGTTTTGATCTCTCTTGATGTATTACGATAATATGGCATGGTTGTGTTTAGAGACATTAATGGTTTAACTGCTATAAAACTAAAATTATTAATTAAAGTAAGAATAACCAATAATAATAAAAGAAAAATATCAATCTTCAAGTCTTTCAATGAATATTGTTCTACAGATTGGACAAGAACCCTGGTCTTATATCCAAATTCTTATACATTCGTCATGAAAAATGTGATTGATCTTCTTATTACTACCGTCGACATTACAGGGCAACCTAACGCAATTGTCATCAATTTAATAGGTCTATAAACAAATCGAACAATCTTCATGTATATTTGTATCCTAATTCTTTAAATCCTAGAATTTTTGGGAATTTAAATTTGCTAAAAATCCCACCCTCTATTATTCGATTCTGTGCTATTTGTATTCATAATACAGATCAGTACACCAACTGCATGATTGCCATATGGCCACTCCTATAAGAATAGGAATGCTCGCACATATTATTAATAGTATACAGATTATCATCGCTATGACCATGTAACCTATGAGCATTGAGATCAATGTCAAGATTATCAAAATGGGCTCGAATTAGTCCATGGTCTTCATCTTATCATTCCAATTCAGAATCACCCACTGTATTATTGTGATATTTCCCCAAGCGAACAATATTATTTTCACCAACACACACACTCGATTCAACGCGAATATTTAGGAACTCTAACTTTCAAGCAAATAGGATATCCACTTGTAGGTTGAAATCTTCTCAGAGATACTAATCGCTACTTGTTATGCTTAGGAATTCTGCTCTTCATCTTCCATAATGTCTTCAAATGGACTGTTTAATTTTATTGTGTATTTTAGGTATTCAATAATGGGATGAGTTATATCTCCATGTTTTATTTGTTCAGCCTCATTAATCACGTATCTTAGTTGACAATTAATGTAGATCACCAGACAATCGGAGATCAGATTGAACCCGAAATAAACACTGAATAGTTCTTTTATGTCATCCTTGGTGATTAATGAAAAATACAAGGCTATTACTTCATTAATTATAAAAATTAGGTTCAGAATTGTGAACACATTTATGATTACACAACTTCTAAAAATAACAGTTTTAAGCACATTGTTTAGTTGGGGACATTGATTATTAAAGAGAAGTTAAATGATATCCTAAAAGCTGATATTCAGATATTGTTCTGTCTCATTCTATGATGTAGCCAATAATTCGACTTAAGGAAAGTCTTAAAAATGGTTGAGGCTCTATTGATATGACTGCAATTGTTCAGCTGATTAAAATTGTATTGATTAATTTTGATAAACTTACTCAGATTTATTTTAGAACGATAATGATTCTGGATTATTAATAACCTGCTCCTATTACTAAAATTAGGCTGTAAACTCATTGAATTCCGATTAAATTGATTAATCTAATTTATTCATTAACAAACAAAAAATTTATTATTAGTTTTTTCTTTTAATAATAATTTATTCATAAATCCTAATTATATTTACTTAAATCCAAGAATATACAATATCCGAGGTCAAAATATCCTATTAAAATAATAACAATTCAATTGCTAAATCCTTTGAATAGAATAGCATCCTAATTTCTAGGAGACTATTAATAATATTTTGATATCTTTCAGATAGTAATTCGATAGATATATTTAATATAAAATAGAATAAAAGAATGAAGAGAAAATGTTGAAGGAAGAATTAATTAATAAAAATTTATATTTAAGTATTATTTAGATGTTTTTTATAAAAGCTGAAATCTAAAACAAATTGGTATTGGTTTTTTTATCAAATTTTGTATTATTATTATTAAATCTATATTTAATATCGATGAATGTTTAAATTGAATTTATTCAATAATTAAATGATCTTCCGTGTTTTTAGCATTCAGTTTTTAGTTTTAGAAATAACAAATCTTATTATTCGATATTAACTAAATAGAATCTTTTGATTTGTTTGGTAGTAAAAATAAATCTAAATGTAGGCTTGGCTTCATTTTTCTTAATTAATATTTAGCTTAAATTATTTAAAGAATTTGCAGAGCTGACCAAATATTTATCTTTACTGATTAATTAAAAAAGGTAAATCCAGCCTCCATCTAAAGCTAAATACCTTTCAGTTTCTGAAGACAAATAATCCATCAAAGATTTGTGAGTTTTAATTGGTTTGATAACTCTAAAGGTAGAGCCAGGAGGAAAATTGATAATTTATTTTTTCTAATACCCCGAATCTAATGGCTTACCAACTTATTTAAAATTATAAAGTATTAATATTCTGTACTCCTTTTGCATTTCACTCATAGTTTATGATTCCGAATCCTCGTCTTCATCATTGTAAATTTGGTTGGCTTCATCCTCATTATCAATCTTGAATACATTAGGATCACTAGATCTTCCTTTAGTACTTTGCTATGAACTTTACTTAGATTATTTAGATTCTGTGGGTAATGAGGAAGTTGCTTCATTATAGATAATTTCGTCAGAGGGAGCATCGTTAAAAAATTATTTGATAGAGTCCAAAAAAGAACTCTTCTTCTTTAGTTACATTATATAAATATTTATATATTTATTTGAAAATTGTATTGTAGTTAACAAATTGATTCAATTAATTAAGATCAAGCTCTCTTAATGAGATTTCTTTGTTGCATTAAATAATCATCCTCAGAATCCTCTGAGTCACTCTCCTGATCTTCACTTGACTCACTACTCGATTTCTTTTAATTAAACTTCTTCCCATCGACTTACTTAATGGCAACTTCATCTTCTGCAAACTCATCAAAGGAAACGTTTTGTTGTTGTTTGCCCTACAGTTTTTCGACATCTTCATCCTTCAACTCAGCATTGTCAAGCATAATATTACCTTTATCATCAAATTAAACAATGTATCTTATATATATTGTACATCTATTACTTGAGCGGCTTAAAGGAATCAATATCACTGATCTCTTTAATCCTATCAATATTTTCAAATAACTTTTATTCCATTTCAGCCCTCTCCCTATCTCTTTTCTCTTTATCTATGCCTCCAGTTCTTACTCTATCCTTCAAGATGTTAAATTAATTGGCCTACTATAATTAGGCTTATTCCTCCTCAAATCTAACTGATTTCTTCTTCTAAGGTAATTCCTATATTTCCTTGAATTCGATCACTTCTTCATCCCTAAAAATCGTATGTTTATTAAGATATCTTTAAATATGATATCTAGTCCATATATATTCGCAATCTTCCTTGAGTATTTACCTTTCACCAACATTTCTTAATAATTTGTTCAGACTCAAATGATTACAAAATTTGATACTTCAGTAATCAGATCAAAATCGAACTCCATATCTGCTACTACATGATTCAAGTGCTTTACAATATACTTCTCAGCATTTTTCTATATTTTTTAAGAGCTCTCCAATTCATTCACATCATAAAAATACTCCTTGAACATTTTATAAAAATAATTAAAATTATTTTTTTTTTCTCGGGATATTAGTTTATCTATATATTTTTGATTGCTATGGATAGGGAACGTATTTCTAATAATACTAAATATATAAATATTGCAATGCTTAAAAATTGATATCAATTTATAGGGGATCGGTCTGTCCATCCACTTAGAGATAAATTACTCGAATCAGGTATTGGCAATCTTTTTGCTGTTTGCTTTTGTTGTAATTGTTATAATGAGGAGATGATTGCTTAGGATTTCTTTTCGGTTTCATTTGAATTGGGTTATTTGCTTACGACATTGGTTGTTTAAAGTAAATTGGCCACATTATTAAAGTTATTGACTCTGATAACAGGCTTAGTATCTTATTGTTGATTGGATGTATTTTGTATGGTGCTGATTTAAGTGATGCTATTATTGGTGGCTGTTTAATAGCTGATAATCACATTTTTTTATATGGGGGCAATGTTTTTGGAGCTTCTTGAAAACCCTTTCTACGATTTGATTTAGGGAAGCTTCTATTACACAAGCTTTTACTCGTTACTGTCCTCTGTTTTCTACTCTTTTTATTCAGGACTTCTTCTTAATAGTTCCACGTTATATAACTCATGATGAGATTAACATTAATTTTAGTTCTATTATTTCCCTTTGGCCCTTTGAGTAATAGTAATTTATTTCACAATATGTTCCTATTAAAGAAGCAATTTCGTATTTTTCGGAACCGATGTTTTACGAGACAAAACAGTTGCTTCGATCATCTTATGTGGTAATTCTCTATGCTATAATTTCTTCACTAACTAAGCAACCTTTGAAAGTATGTCTGTTTTATTAGATTTTTACGAATTCATAGGAGGATCATTTTTGAGCTCAAATTTAACGAAATCTCACTTACATAATTTTGCAGTTTGCACCTTATTTAAGGAATCTAGCATTTCCAATTTGCTCATTATTCTGACTCTTGCCACACTCGATACATTTGGTACATATTGAGATCTGCTCTTTTGAACGCTAAATTGAGATTATGATCTTAATGGCGAATGATATGCGAATCGTAATTATCTATCCTAAAATAGTGTTTCAGAATAATTATTAGCCTTAAACTCGTTATGAAATATACTTACGAATGTGATCTCGTCTGCATTCATTAAATATGTATTTTATAAAATTAACTAATTAAATGAATTACGAAACAATATACGACTATCCTTTCAACACTATCTCAGTTCTTGAATGACAAGTACAGATTAATTTATATTATGTGAATATTACTAATATTAAATGTACATTCTCATCCCTAAGTGGCATATATATATAAGCAGACTAACAAGACCTCCTCATTTGGGGTAATGAATATTTTATAACCCAAAAAAGTTAGATTTACATTAAATGTTCTTTTAACTTAAAAATTAATTTAGTGTAAATAAAATACTATTGTTAAATATTTACAATACATTAAACCATCCTCTATTGTTAAATCCTTAATTATGGTAATACATAGCCATTCCAAGTTTTTATAGGACATTAAATATGTTTTCTATTGCCTTTATTTTAATAAACCCATCTCATAATCATTCATTCAATAAATATCAATACATGTATAAGATTTTCTTCAGATCTTTTTATTTCTTTCATTTTATTCCTGTCTGCCTCTCTTTCTTTACGATTTATTGTATTAATACTATGATTCTACCCTAAATTTCTTATTGAAACATCAAAAAATTTATTGTGGTTCAATTGGCTTTAAAATTATTATTTTTTGTTAATTTATTTGTTCTGTTACTTATTTATAAAGAAATCGTAGATTAGAGTTAAATTGCTACATTAATAGAAAAATTACCAAATAACTTAAGAATAAGAACCCAAAGAATAATATATTAATTTCATATATATCATTTTCTATTATAATATGGCAAAAAGAATTAATTGTATTAAAAAAGTTGAGACATTTTGTTATGAAAGGATAAATCTCAAGCCAAAAAAATTATTCTTAAAATATAGTACCATAAAAAGAATTATATTCTTAATTTAATCTGCTAGACTATTACATCTTAACTCCATTTTCAATAAAATTACTAAATTTTTAGTGTGTAGAATTAATCATCATTTATTCAGTATAAGTTGTAATTTAGCTTCTAAAAATAGTCTGTATAGTTTCATGAATTATATTGGAAATCTAGTGATATCATGATAAATGACTTTGTGTGATTGTTTTCAAACACTTTTGATTCCAGATGTTCGATCATCTTATTCTATTACTTAAATTTTAATTTATGATTTAAATAAGAGTTAGAATAATACTTTCTTATATTGTAAAAAACAAATATTTGAGCTCTTGTGATATAATTATATACTAATCAGCTTATTATTCTACTTTGCATCTAAAATAAACTAATTATTAATTATTTTCGTAATTCATCTAATTGATTTTGGAATCAGTTTTTTAGTAGATAAAACAAATTTAGATATTAGAATCTCTATTAAAAGTTTATTAGAACATTTTAATAAATTTAGCACAAAATCCCAATTACAAAAAAAAATATGCTATTTTTAAATTTGAGGTGAAAATCAAAAAAAAATGTTCTTAGTTATTTTGGACTTATTCAATTAGAAAATGAAATCCTATTTCATTCTTTTCTGTTAAATCATGAAAAAGCAATATTTATATTAATAGAAAAATAATAATATTTGATAGCAGATTATACATATTAAGAAATTAAATGTGAATACAATATAATTAATCGATATATATATGAAAAATTAGCATTAATGCAAATTTAATTAAAGAATAATATAAAATTGAGTTTAATTCTCTAAAAATAGAATTTTCGAGAAATTTGTATTTGAATTAATTTAAAATCAAAATTTCTAGAAGCTTCCAATAATCTATTGATAAACAAGTTATGTATGGTAATTCTTTATAAATAATAATAGAAATTAATAATGGCTTAAACACCTGCAATTGGTATTGATTTAGGAACAACCTACTCTTGTGTTGGTATTTGGGTGAATGATAAAGTTGAAATCATCCCAAATGATTAAGGTAACAGAACAACTCCATCATATGTTGCATTCACTGATACAGAAAGACTTATTGGTGATGCTGCTAAAAACTAAGTTGCTAGAAATCCATAAAACACAGTTTTTGATGCAAAAAGATTAATCGGAAGAAAATTCGCTGAATCCACAGTTTAAAAGGATATTAAATTGTGGCCATTCAAGGTTGAAGCTGGTGCTGATGACAAACCCATGATTGTTGTGAAATACAAGGGAGAAAACAAAAAATTCCATCCAGAAGAAATCTCATCAATGGTCTTGACCAAGATGAAGGAAACAGCTGAAGCCTATTTGAGCAAATAAGTCTCAAAGGCTGTCGTTACAGTCCCCGCTTATTTCAACGACTCTTAAAGATAAGCCACAAAGGATGCTGGTGCAATTGCTGGTATGAATGTTTTGAGAATTATCAATGAACCAACAGCTGCTGCTATTGCTTATGGTTTGGACAAGAAGGCTAAACACGAGGAACACGTACTCATCTTCGATTTGGGAGGTGGTACATTCGATGTCTCCTTATTGGCTATTGAAGATGGTGTCTTTGAAGTCAAGGCCACAGCTGGTGATACTCACTTGGGTGGTGAAGATTTCGATAACAAACTCGTCGAATATTGTTGTGCTGAATTCTTGAAGAAGAAAGGTATTGACATCAGAGGAAACCCAAGATCATTGAGAAGACTCAGAACCCAATGTGAAAGAGCAAAGAGAGTTCTCTCATCTGCCAATCAAACCACAATCGAAGTTGACGCTTTGGATGCAAATGAAGATTTCAATTGCACAATCACAAGAGCCAAATTCGAAGAGTTATGCATGAGCATGTTCAAGGAATGCATCCCACCTGTTGAAAAGGTTCTTAAGGATTCAGGTATTTCCAAGAATCAAATCCACGAAGTCGTTTTGGTCGGTGGATCAACAAGAATCCCAAAAGTCCAAGAATTATTGAGAGACTATTTCAACGGAAAGGAATTGAACAAATCAATCAATCCAGATGAAGCTGTTGCTTATGGTGCTGCAGTCTAAGCTGCCATCTTGACTGGATAAGGTAACGAACAAGTCAAGGATCTCTTGTTGTTGGATGTCACCCCATTGTCCTTGGGTATTGAGACTGCTGGTGGTGTCATGACTGTTTTGATCCCCAGAAACACAACCATCCCAACAAAGAAATCATAAACCTTCACAACCTATGCTGACAATCAACCAGGAGTCTTGATCCAAGTCTATGAAGGTGAAAGATAAATGACCAAGGATTGCCACAAGTTGGGACAATTCAATTTAGATGGCATTGCCCCAGCTCCAAGAGGAGTCCCATAAATTGAAGTATCATTCGATCTTGACGAAAATGGTATCATGAACATCCACGCTGAAGACAAAGCCACCAAGAAATCAAACAAGATCACCATCACAAATGACAAGGGTAGATTATCAAAGGATGACATTGAAAAATTAGTTAAGGAAGCTGAAAAATTCAAAGCTGAAGATGACATCATCAAATCCAAGATTGAGGCCAAGAACAGTCTTGAATAAACCACCTATTAAATTAGAAACACCATCAAGGATGAGAAATTGAAGGACAAATTCTCAGCTGAAGAAAAAACTAAACTTGAATCATTGATTGAAGAAACAACCAAATGGATTGATGCTAATCCAAATGCTGAAACCAATGATTATAAAAATAAATTAAAGGCTCTTGAAGAAATCTTCCATCCAATCATGCAAAGAGTTTATCAAGCCACTGGAGGTGCCCCCCCAGGAGCTGAAGGTGCAGGATTCCCAGGAGGTGCAGGATTCCCAGGAGGTGCTGGATTCCCAGGAGGAGCTGGATTCCCAGGAGGTGCTGGTGGACAAGGACCAACAGTCGATTAAGTTGATTGATTTTTATCTTAGTGTATATGTTAAAATTAAAATTCAATTTAAATAATCATCCTTTCTAAATTAATTAAATTTCATTAAGAGAATAAACAACATAGAAATATATACAAACAGATTTATAAAACTATGAATAGTGACTTTTTTGTTTCAATAATTAATATATTCAAAATATTTAATATACAATACGGAAAATGGATAAAGAAAACGCGAAACTAGCTCAAGATTATTCCACTTAGAACAATGTCCCTCTGCTTTAAGCCCAACAATAACCAGTTAATCAATATTACTCTCCCTATTCTCCATAAGTTCAATAACCATAGTAATAAGTTAATCCCTAACCATACATACCAAATCCTTATCAAGGAATCAATCTTTAAGGAGATCAACCCTAGGTTAATCAATAACTTTAATAATAAAATCCTCAACAATAATAATTAATGTAACCCTACTAACCTAATCCTTATCAATAATAAATAACAGGAATCGTTCTCCAATATCCCTATATCCCCTATGTACACATTATCATTAACTTAGGCTCCACAAGTTCTTTAAAATGCCTCTGGATTCAGAACTCCAGCCCTAATTTAATGTCCCTACTGTAACCAACACTCAGTCACAAGCATTACCTACAAACCAGGAAATGACACCTACTGGATGGCTGTCTTATTGTGTATATGCTTTGGATTCTTGTGTTTGATTCCCTTATTGTCTGGCGATTGCAAGGATGTCTATCATTAATGCAGCTATTGTGGAAAAGTAGTAGGCCACACTCCATACAAAGCCTGCTAATGATTTTAATAATATATACATTTCATCAATTATAACATTTATCCCTACTGTAAATATTTCACAGAATTCCTTAGTATGAAAAAAATTATACTTTTTAAAATGTTATATAATAAAATTCATTAATATAGCTAATTCACTTAAAAAGGATAACTAGTTTTCAACATCTCATAACAAACTCAGATATTCAAGTGTATCCAAATTAAGTATCAAAACCTTTCTTTTGCTTAAACACATCTCTAGGATAATCAATCTTTCCTGACATAAACATGTCTATGTATATTTATAGAAAATGCTAAAAGTCAGTAGTACCATTTAGTATTTTAGAAAATAGGTTCTAATAGTATTTTTGAAAACAAATAGGTGTACATGGCTTTAGTTTCCCATTCATCAACTTAACCATTATAAGAAATCTAATATATAAAAATATCAGGGTTCAATTGTAATGCCTTCACTTCAATTCATATGGAATCACATAGATGAGAACTGGATTTGTTAAGGCACATTTATTACTTCAATTCTGATTTGATATTTTGCTGGCCTTCCTTCTGGAGTGCTTGCTTCCTAAAGATTGTAAATACCATAGTTAATATTTGTAGTCATTTTTTAAAATATAGTTGGTGAAAAAAACATCAAGTTTGCAGATGAATTTATATAATTTTATTCATTTTAATATGTTAAAAAGAATGGGATTAATATTTAAGAATATTTTTGAAAATTGAATTATTATAAATTCATAAACAAATCTTATCTATAAATAATTATATCGTTTAATTCAAACTCTATGAAAAATAGTATCGAGATTTCTAAACAGTTGACAGTTTGCTAAAGCAATAGTCAATTATAAAAAGCTACATTTGATAACTTAGCTCAAAGCGTGCAGATAAATTCTCCTTTATAAGCAAACATTCTCTCACATTCACTTCCCATTACACCTAACAATGGAGATCAGGCAGATCTTATTTAAGAAATAGGTTTGCCCAAGATTCTAACAAGAAAGATGACTAGGTATTGATGAGGTTGATAAAAATAGAAATGATTATTCAACTACAGCCAATGGACATAAAACCAAGTAAGAAGTTTTTTGCAATAACTGTCAAAGAATTAATATGACTAGACTAGAAACAGAATATGGACTGGGGGCTATGTAAGTTACGTGCTTGCTAATTGTTCTATTTTGGCCACTTTGTTGGTTGCCTTGTGTTTTAAAATCATGTTAAGACATAATCCATTATTGCCCATTTTGTAACTAAGTTGTAGGAAGAACTCGTTATACATTCTGTTGATTTTATAGTGTAAATTACTTAAATATATAAAATTCCCAAAAAATCATAATTCCTTGAGTTCAACTTGAACCTTAGGCTATAACATTTCAATAAAAGAGAAATATTCAATTAAGATGTTGCTATTTTCTGAAATCAAGTATTGAGGTTAAATAGAGAGAACGAAATTTTAACAAAATATCAAAATTGCTACATCCCATTAGCCTTTACAAAGATAAATATTTTTCTTACACTAAAAACTTTTAAATTGACATTCATCAATGAGTCAGCTTGTATATAATCAAATTATATGAAATGATTGTAAAAATTTAGTTGTAGTAAACCAATAAAATATAACCAGCCTTAGATAAATCAACAATTAAATATCATTATAATTTAATTATGATAATTTAAAGAGCAGATGAGACCTTTACATTTGTTCCATTTACATCTTGTATCAAATTGCTTATGCTTAAATAGAATCAACCATTTAACATAATATTTTTGAGTAATAACAAAAGTTATTTGTCTTTTTGAATTTTAATAATAAATGAAATTAATTTTGAAAATTATATACTGAATAAATCAGTCATAAATTTTTTTCGAACAATCTCCTCTAGACCTACCAGATTGAATAATTTAGTATTAAATCAAGAGATTTAATGGAAAATGTAAATCTTAAGTAGTCTTTTTACAAAAATATTAGGATAATATATAAAAATAAAATCAAAAGAATAGATAAAAATACTTGTTAAAATTAAAATGCTGTTTCTTCAAAAATAAGAATTAATAAATTCTTTTGTATAATTAAGGTCTGCTCATTAATGTTCTAACTAAAGATATATATTTCTAATATTTAAATTTTTTTCTTAATTAGAACTTTTTCCACAAAGAATCCAAATTAACTAATAGTATTTAATTCCTTAAAGTTTAAGCATTGATCTCTAAATGTTAGTTTTTTAAAATCGTTTGTATTTCATTCAATGCTAAACTTTCATTAAATAACGATTTTTGGATTTGTAATGGAAATAGCTAATAACCTGGTGTCAATCAGTATTATTTATAATCAATAATTCAGCTAACAAAAATAGCAAGATATTATATTCAAATAAGGGGCACTATTTTGTATAATAATACTAACCTTTGTATTGAAAGTCTATTAAAAATTAGACAGATGCGTTAGATTTCCAGTTTAATTGAAGTTTAATTGAGTAGACCAAATATCTAAAACTAGGATTGCCTATAAATCAATAAAGTGTTTCTTATTATTCTTATTTATTACTATTACAATTCTGTTAATGTAATTTCTCTTAATTCCTAAAAGGATGTTGTGCATCAATATATTCAATGCAATTACAAGTTTGTTTTACTCAATAGCAGATATAGGAATTTGAATATTTATTTGTAGAGTGCAAGAATTTTCTTATATAAATATATCCTAATTCAATTAATAAAATTATGAGATAAAGATAAACATATTAGCCGAATTATCTATAAATTTCTCAAACGGAGAAACCAAAAAGATATGTTCATTCATATGGAAAGGAACTTAAAACACCTGATTCCATAAAGCCTCTAAGTGCATTAATGAACTTGAGACTTTTCCTTTATAAAACAAAATAAAAATTAGAATATAAATAGGCGAGTCAATTTACTAGGAATGACCCTTTAGTAAAGGAGCAACCCTCTTTTTTCTATAATAAATTTTAGATAGAATAGGATAATCAAATAAAATTTCAAGCGTATTTAGATGGTGATTTGCAAGCTGAGGAATATTTGACTCTTCAAAACTACAAGAGATTATACAAAATAACAAAGAATGATAACGGGTCTTTTGATAACTCAAATGATGACACACAATATTACACTTAAAGAGAAAGCGCTTTAAAAAAACTAAAAGAGAGGATTATTCATAGACACAATATGAATAAGAGAAAAAGAGGATCTGAAATAAGCAGCCAGGTTGATACTTCTAAATGCGATACTCCCAGCATATAATTAGCCAAATAACTCAAGAAAGTTATTATTCGAAAACATATGAATAAAATAAATGAAGAGCTAACAGCGTATCAAATTTTTATTATTTAGAGAAAATACTCTAAAGAATTTGAAAATGGTATAAAATGCAGACTTTGCTGTACAATAATTACAGGAGACACTTGAACAAGATAAATCTATATAGAGTAGTGTTTAAAAAAAAGTTAATTCAACAAAGCATTTAAAAATAATAACTAGAAGAAATAAAACTGAGATTAGTGAGGAGAATAAAGATAGTAGAATACAATTGAGTAATGAAATAAATAATTTGGCTAATAAAACCATTTATGAATCATAAGTCAAAGATAAATAAAAACAATTAAAATCAAAAACCCTCAAATTTTCTAATGCCAAAATGAATCAAATATTTATGCAAAAGTCTTAATATTCTTTCAGAGATCAAAGAAACTGTATTACTGATCGATCACAATAATCATATTGTTAGAAAAATAATTCTAAACAAAAGTTACATTACTAGGGTGATGAAAAATTGGAGGAAAGAGATGATTCAGCTGAATCAAGTCTCTGTTCCCTATTTGAAAAGAAAATCAATCATTTATATAATTAAAGCATATTATTGAAGAAGAATATTTCAACCAAAGATAGTATGATCAAGCGTATAAAACATATGCAAAGTTTTAATTAAATTGTAGGAGAGGCAGTGCAAACAAATAATTAAAAATTATATTAAATTTGATTGTATAATTTATTATGCTTCTATTCAAATAGTTGAATTAACTTTATTAGATTAAGCAACAAGTTATCCTAAGACTTATTCTAACTCTGCTTCATTTAGGTTTCCAATCAAAGCTTTCTTTTCAACTCCATACTCTAACATTAGAATCTATAAGTACTGTATCTGACAAGAATATATGGATCGATTGATTCACACTCTCTCACAACAAATGGAAATTTTGGATTTGCTTCTTTCCATTGCCAATAATTTTTTGTGACAAGATTCCTATAAATCAATACTATACTAGTACCTAACTCCTTCCGATCTACCACAAGATTAGCAAAACACAAATCGTAATTCTTTAACAGAATTACCCAATTATTTGTACCAAGACATTATTAAATTAAAATATATTTATAATAAAATCGAAAATTGATTATCAAAAAGAAGGGTTGGTCTGATTTATTATGAATATCATGTATTAAATGTATAGAGTTAATATAGTTTCTTGTTTTCTAAATTTTATCTTATGTTTGATAAATGCCATTTTTCAGAAGTAAAAATGATGGCGGCTTAAAGATAAAGGAGTCCCGAAAATGTTCAAATAATACAAAGATTAGGAACTTTTCGAAATAATAATTTAACAATATATATCTATATAATTATTCAGTTGTTTATGATATAAATTTGAATAATGTTCTTGATTTATAAATTTTTGTTAATATAAAAGGTAAGTGAGTGACGTTTATGATTAGTAAGGGTGAATTAGTATAGGATAGGAAATTTTTGAAGTTATTAAAAAGGTAATGAGTTAATTTTGATTACTAAGATTGTGATAAGTTAGAATAGGAATTGATAAATTAATTTAAAGGTTTTAGGTAAGCAAATAGGAGTAAGTGACGATTAGAAAGGGTGTTAATATATTGAGTATTTATGTTCTGATTTGAAGATTTAATTTAAATAAATTAATTATGATACGAGGATATACATCCGTATTGAGAAAATCACTTTGGTATTTACCATCAATGGGATTCTCAAAGAAGTTGGGCATTGGTGAGGCATCCAGCGTATTAGAAGATAAAATTAAAAATATTTCCTAATTGGTAAAGGATTATAGTGATAAATTAGAATGACATCAAAGAATATGGTACAGTCATCTCCATTGGTGATGGTATTGCTAGAGTTTTTGGATTGACATAAGTTTAAGCAGGAGAAATGGTTGAATTCAGTTCAGGAGTAAGAGGTATGGCCTTGAATTTGGAAACAGATAATGTGGGTATTGTCGTGTTGGGTAATGACAGGTATTTGATTAAAACTAATTAATTCTAGAGAAATCTAAGAAGGAGATATTGTGAAGAGAACAGGAGCAATTGTCGATGTCCCCATTGGTATGGAAATGTTGGGAAGAGTATTTGATGCTCTTGGTAACCCAATCGATGGACATGGTCCAGTCAAAACAAACACAAGAAGAAGAGTTGAATTGAAGGCACCAGGAATTATTCCAAGAAAGAGTGTCCACGAACCAATGTAAACAGGATTAAAGGCTGTTGATTGTTTGGTTCCAATTGGAAGAGGACAAAGAGAATTGATTATTGGTGATAGACAAACAGGAAAGACAGCTATTGCCATTGATACAATCATCAACTAAAAACCAAACTTTGACTCTGGTGACAAGAATAAATAATTATATTGCATTTACGTTGCTATTGGTTAAAAGAGATCAACTGTTGCCAACTTGGTCAAGATTCTCACTTAAGCTGGTGCTATGAAATACACAATTGTGGTTGCAGCCACAGCCTCAGAAGCTGCTCCACTTTAATATTTAGCACCATATTCTGGATGTGCTATCGGAGAATATTTCAGAGACAATGGAATGCATGCTCTTATTATTTATGACGATTTATCAAAATAAGCCGTTGCTTATAGATAAATGTCATTGTTGTTGAGAAGACCACCAGGCAGAGAAGCCTATCCAGGTGATGTCTTCTATTTGCACTCCAGATTGTTGGAAAGAGCAGCTAAACTCAATGCTGAAAATGGAAATGGTTCATTAACTGCCTTACCAGTTATTGAAACATAAGCTGGTGATGTCTCAGCCTATATTCCAACCAACGTTATTTCTATTACTGATGGATAAATTTTCTTGGAAACAGAATTGTTCTTCAAGGTATTCTAAATTTAATTATAATTATTTAGGGTATTAGACCAGCTATCAATGTCGGTTTGTCTGTGTCAAGAGTCGGATCAGCTGCTTAAATCAAAGCCATGAAGACAGTCGCTGGTAGACTTAAGTTAGAATTGGCTTAATACAGAGAAGTCGCTGCATTTGCCCAATTTGGTTCAGATTTGGATGCAGCCACCTAATAATTGTTAAACAGAGGTGCCTAATTGACTGAATTACTCAAATAAAAATAATACGTATGTTCTAATGACAATCTTATTTTAGGTCCCAATGTGTGCTGAAGAATAAGTTTGCGTCATTTATGCTGGTGTCAGAGGATTTTTGGATAAGGTCTAAACTTCAGAAATTGCCAAATTCGAGGAGAAATTCCTTACTCATCTTAGAACCAACTATCCAGCCATGTTGGAAAGAATTAGAAGGTATTCAATATAGTAATTCTGTAGTACTGGTGAATTGACCAAATAAGATGATGCTGAATTGAAAAGTATCTTAGAAGTCTTCATCCCAGAAGCTGGTCTTGCTATGAAATAGTGATCAATTACAAATAATAATACAATATATAAAATAATAATTTATCAGTATGTAAATTACTTTTGCACAACTTCGTCCTTTATAACTTGGAGAGTCTCTCTACGTAACAGGGAATTGCAATGAGTTGGGAAATTGGAATCCTGAGAAAGCGTTTAAACTAAATTATCAGTTGACTGATCTTTGGATTGGTTAGATAGATCTTAATCTTGAAAATGTAGTTGAATATAAGTACTTTGTGGCTTAAACAAACAATCCCAAACAAGATATAAAATGGGATGATGGAAACAATAGAGTTCTTGATAAAATGATGGTCACCGAATAGCTAAAAGTGATGACATTTAATATAAGATATGATTGTAAAGAGGATGGTAAAAATGATTGGAGTCATAGAAAGTCGATTGTTTACAAATTAATACGGAAGATTAATCCCGAAATCTTTGGATTGTAAGAAGTACTCGCTCATTAACAATTCGATTTGTAATTGAACCTTTAAGTGAATTATAACTTTATAGGTAGAGGGAGGTAGAATAATTTTTGGAATGATGAGGGATGTCCTATTTATTATGATATGCTTAAGTTTAACTTGATTTAGGCTGAAGTGTTTTGGTTTTCAGATACTCCAAATGTAGCAGGATCGAAGAGTTATGGTAATGGATTACCTCGAATATGCACATATGTGAAATTATTACATAAAGTGAGCCAAAAAGTGTTTCATGTTTACAATACTCATTTTGATCATGAAAATAAGCTTTCTTAAATTAAGTCAGCTGAGTAAATCAAAAGACACATTTAATAGTATTGTGCTCCGGAAGATAAAATTATTGTAATGGGAGATCTTAATAGTTTACCAATGAGCGAGCCAGTCAAAATCTTGACATCCCCCCTAAGGCAAGATTTTAGTTTGTAAAACACTATGGGAGTTCTGGATATGCCATTAGCAACAATGCATGCATGGTATGGATTGAAATTGGGTTTGCACATCGATTATATATTTTTGGGCAATTTGAAGTACAAGAGTATGATGATTGTGAATGATCTAGTTGATGGGTAATACCCATCGGATCACTTCCCAAAAGTTGTTGTTTACGAATGAGATTATAAATAATTATAATTATCTAGAAATATTATAAAGTAATAGTGCGCAATAACAAGATATTAGAGAGAAATAATTGGTATATAAAAATTTCATACAAAAGGTAATGGATACACGTCTCATGAATTAAATAAATAAATGAGCAAATATATTTATACATTTGGTGATGGCAAAGCAGAAGGCAGCGCAGCTTTGAAGAATCTTTTGGGAGGCAAAGGATCTGGATTAGCAGAAATGAATTTGATTGGCATTCCTGTACCACCAGGATTCACAATTACAACAGATGCTTGCAATTTGTACACTAAGAACGGTGCTGAATCCACTTTCGCTCTCATCAAGGCTGATGTTGAGAAAGCACTTCATTAAGTAGAAGAATTGACTAAGATGGAATTTGGCTCAGCTGAAAACCCCTTACTTGTTTCCGTCAGATCCGGAGCCAGAGTTTCAATGCCTGGTATGATGGACACAATTCTTAATCTTGGATTAAATGATGTCTCAGTAGAGGGATTGAGCAAGAGAACTAACAACCCAAGATTTGCATGGGATTCATACAGAAGATTCATTCAAATGTTCAGTGACATTGTCTTGGACATGAAGCCAACCACCAAGGAAGACATCGATCCATTTGAAGAAATCATCGAAAGTGTCAAACATGCTAAGGGAGTCAAATAAGATACCGAACTTGATGTTGACGATCTTAAGACTCTCGTTGCCAAGTACAAGGTTGCTGTCAAAGCCAAAACAGGAAAAGATTTCCCATAAGAGCCAGAATAATAATTATGGAAAGCTATTTAAGCTGTGTTTGATAGTTGGAACAATGATAGAGCCAAATACTACAGAATTCTTAACAAGATCCCTGAAGATTGGGGAACTGCAGTCAATGTCTAAGCTATGGTTTTCGGTAACATGGGAAATACATCAGCTACAGGAGTTGGATTCACTAGAGATGCATCAACTGGAGAAAATATTTTCAATGGAGAGTATTTGATCAATGCCTAAGGAGAAGATGTCGTTGCAGGTATCAGAACACCATAATAAATCACTTTGATTGGATCAAAGAGATGGGCTGAATCATAAGGAGTCCCTGAAGATGTCAGAAAAAATCAATTCCCATCATTGGAAGAATCATTACCAGAAACATACTAAGAATTGAAGAATGTCTAAGAAAAATTAGAATAACACTTCAAAGATATGTAAGATATTGAATTCACAATTCAAAATGGAAAATTATGGTTATTATAATGCAGAAGTGGTAAAAGAACTGGTGCTGCCATGGTTTAAATTGCTTGTGATTTATTAAGAGAAGGAAAGATTGATGAAAAGACAGCTCTTAAGAGAATTGAACCAAATAAATTAGATGAATTATTACATCCAATTTTCACACCAGAAGCTTTGAAGACAGCCAAATTTGTTGCCAAGGGATTACCAGCATCTCCAGGTGCAGCTTCAGGATAAATTGTTTTCTTTGCTGATGAAGCCAAGAAATTTGCTCAAAGTATTTTAGTAAGAATTGAAACATCTCCAGAAGATTTGGAAGGTATGAACATTGCCAGAGGTATTTTGACAGCCAGAGGAGGTATGACATCACATGCTGCTGTCGTTGCAAGAGGTATGGGTAAATGCTGTGTTTGTGGTGCTGGATCTTTGAATATCAATTACAAATAAAGAACACTTGAAGTTAACGGAAAGGTTTATGCTGAAGGTGATTGGATTTCATTGAATGGATCAACAGGAGATGTCTTTGAAGGAAAATTATAAACATAAGAAGCATAACTCAGTGGAGATTTCGGTTTGATTATGGATTGGGCTGAGAAATACACTAGAATGTATGTTAGAACTAATGCAGACACACCAAAGGATGCTTAAATTGCTAGAAAATTCGGTGCCAAGGGTATTGGATTGACAAGAACTGAACATATGTTCTTTGAAGGAGAAAGAATCAAAGCTATGAGAGAAATGATTTTAGCATCAGATTTGACTGGTAGATAAGCTGCATTGGCTAAATTATTACCATNACAAGTACAAGGTTGCTGTCAAAGCCAAAACAGGAAAAGATTTCCCATAAGAGCCAGAATAATAATTATGGAAAGCTATTTAAGCTGTGTTTGATAGTTGGAACAATGATAGAGCTAAATACTACAGAATTCTTAACAAGATCCCTGAAGATTGGGGAACTGCAGTCAATGTCTAAGCTATGGTTTTCGGTAACATGGGAAATACATCAGCTACAGGAGTTGGATTCACTAGAGATGCATCAACTGGAGAAAATATTTTCAATGGAGAGTATTTGATCAATGCCTAAGGAGAAGATGTCGTTGCAGGTATCAGAACACCATAATAAATCACTTTGATTGGATCAAAGAGATGGGCTGAATCATAAGGAGTTCCTGAAGATGTCAGAAAAAATCAATTCCCATCATTGGAAGAATCATTACCAGAAACATACTAAGAATTGAAGAATGTCTAAGAAAAATTAGAATAACACTTCAAAGATATGTAAGATATTGAATTCACAATTCAAAATGGAAAATTATGGTTATTATAATGCAGAAGTGGTAAAAGAACTGGTGCTGCCATGGTTTAAATTGCTTGTGATTTATTAAGAGAAGGAAAGATTGATGAAAAGACAGCTCTTAAGAGAATTGAACCAAATAAATTAGATGAATTATTACATCCAATTTTCACACCAGAAGCTTTGAAAACAGCTAAGTTTGTTGCTAAGGGACTACCAGCATCTCCAGGTGCAGCTTCAGGATAAATTGTTTTCTTCGCTGATGAAGCCAAGAAATTTGCTCAAAGTATTTTAGTAAGAATTGAAACATCTCCAGAAGATTTGGAAGGTATGAACATTGCCAGAGGTATTTTGACAGCCAGAGGAGGTATGACATCACATGCTGCTGTCGTTGCAAGAGGTATGGGTAAATGCTGTGTTTGTGGTGCTGGATCTTTGAATATCAATTACAAATAAAGAACACTTGAAGTTAACGGAAAGGTTTATGCTGAAGGTGATTGGATTTCCTTGAATGGATCAACAGGAGATGTCTTTGAAGGAAAATTATAAACATAAGAAGCATAACTCAGTGGAGATTTCGGTTTGATTATGGATTGGGCTGAGAAATACACTAGAATGTATGTTAGAACTAATGCAGACACACCAAAGGATGCTTAAATTGCTAGAAAATTCGGTGCCAAGGGTATTGGATTGACAAGAACTGAACATATGTTCTTTGAAGGAGAAAGAATCAAAGCTATGAGAGAAATGATTTTAGCATCAGATTTGACTGGTAGATAAACTGCATTGGCTAAATTATTACCATTCCAAAGAAGTGATTTTGAAGGTATTTTTGAGGCTATGAATGGATATGGAGTAACAATTAGATTGTTGGACCCACCCCTCCATGAATTCGTTCCACATGAAACTGCTTAATAATAAGAATTAGCTTAAGATATGGGATTAACTTTAGATTAAGTTAAATAAAAGGTACATGAATTAGCAGAATTCAACCCAATGTTGGGACACAGAGGATGCAGATTAGGAATTACATATCCAGAAATCACAGAGATGTAAACAAGAGCCATCATTGAAGCAGCTCTTAACATCAAAGCCAAGGGTATGGATGTTAAACCAGAAATTATGGTTCCATTAGTTGGTAATGTTAATGAATTAGAACACTAATTGAAAGTTGTTAAAAAGACAGCTGAAACAGTATTCAAAGAGAGAAATGACACAATTCATTATTTAGTCGGAACTATGATTGAAGTACCAAGAGCTTGCTTAGTTGCTGATTAAATTGGTCAAATTGCTGAATTCTTTTCATTTGGTACCAACGATTTGACTTAAATGACACTTGGATTCTCAAGAGATGATGCTGGTAAATTCTTACCATATTACATCAATAATGGAATCTTGAAAGTCGATCCATTCTAAGTTTTGGATAGACAAGGAGTAGGAAAGATGGTTGAATTGGCAGTCAAGAATGGAAAATCAACAAATCCACATTTGAAAGTTGGTATTTGCGGTGAACACGGAGGAGAACCATCATCAGTTGAATTCTTCCACATTGTTGGATTAGACTATGTCAGTTGCTCACCATTTAGAGTTCCAATCGCAAGAGTTGCAGCAGCCATAGCCAATTTAACCCACCCATGAGTATTTCATTAAAAAATATATAAATATTTATTAATTCAAAATGTCAGATGTTGACATAGAAGACACAATAAACAGAATTAAAAATCACAAATCAGTCTAAGGAATTGTGATTGTAAATGCCGAAGGTGCTATAACTAGGACTACTTACTTAAATGAGAAAAAGGATGAGGGTAACATTCATAATCATCTCAGGTGATACAATTGCAAAATCTATTCCAATTTTGGCTTAAAAGGCAAGATCTCTAGTTAGGGATTTAGATCCAACAAATGATTTAGCTTTCTTAAGAATAAAATCAAAATAAAATGAGATTTTAATTGCTCCTGATAAAGATCTATTGTTGATTGTTATTTAAGGACCTAAAAAATAGGGAGAAGATGATTAATGATGAATTAGATATTTATGCAGTTTATATATTCTGATATAAAAAATAAATAAATATGGATAGAACAATTAGAATTTATAATTTTGATACATCATAATTGTTGAAACCCCTTAAATTATATGTCTAGATAATTTATATTGCTGAGTTAAATGGAAAGTTAAAATATAATATAAATAGTTGATGCCTTACAAATAATTGTTGAAAATTAATTCATAAATAAAATCTAGTTTTTGCTCATCATTCACTATTAAAAGCTAAGCATATATTATAAATAAAATTATTTCATAATAAAGAATGCAAATACATTTTAATTTGATAAGTTTTAATTTTTTCATCTTAAAATCTCTTCATTTACTGTTTCTCAATTTACAGGCTTTATTAATTTTAATATCATTATGTCGAAATAAAACTTAAGCAACTACATCAAATTTTTAAATCATCTCACAGAATTAGAACAAAAAGGTCTCCTCACCTCAAAGCAAAAGCACCTTCTGAAAATCAATCTCACCACAAAAGAATAAACTTTAGATAAACTGATTTGCTCATTTGAAGATGAGGTGAATTATTAAAACTCCATACTCTAATATCTAAGTGCAATAGAACCATAAACTAAGTAGAAATGTCATTCTGCAGGAGAAAATGAAGCTCAATTAAAGTTTAGAAAAAGGCATAATTCTCATTCTAGGGTTACTACTTTTAATGAGTCTAAATTGATAGCAAATTTGGATGAGCTGAATGATCAATTAATGAATGTATGGCAATCCGATGCTTAGTTTGTATGATTGTATTCATGATTTCTAGCTCTTTAATCAAGAAATTAATGAAAAATTAAGGAAGGTTGGAGAATTAATTAATAAAACAACCACTTCAACACCATTAGGCTCTTAAAAACAAGTTAACAGCACAAATGAGACTCGTATTTTGACTGATGGTTTAAGGTCACTTTACAAAGACATGAAAGTAAAGATTGTTTTAAATTAAGCAACATTTTAATGATTATTTACGTTGTCATATATTGTTGATGGATGATCAACTTACTACTGAGCATCTATATAAAGTCTTAAGAGCCTTCATGAAAAATTTGGTTGATGCAGATGAAGTTACATTCATAATAAACAATGAATTATACACTTCAAGAACTGAACAATTTCAAGATATTATAATTACTGAGCAGTAATAATAAGAGATCGATCTAATTCAAGATAAATAGCTAATTGATTTATCTTAATGCTATCCTGAGTTGGGAGTCCTTTTTTAAACCAATTAATATAAAGGTAATTATGCCCTTAAAATTTCAAATTCTTCTTGTATATTTTGTTTTCATTAAAAAAGAGAAAAAAATATCATCATAGATTCCTTTCTATCTCTTTGCAATGAGTACTAGTTCTTTGAAGAAGTAAATCAATTGGCATATTTTTTATTGGAAACCCTTAAATAAGCTAGAGTTTAATGCTTTAATCCATTATAACTATCTCATATGATTTAAGATATTGGAATTGCCTTTATAAGATGCTCTAAATATATATTCATTCAAAAAGTTATTGAGATGCTCAAAGATAGATATTAGGTATCTAAAGAGAGCAATCCATTTTCAAGTGACTCACCTTTCGTTGAATTTGATTTCAGAGACTCCTTAAATTTGAGTATATATATCTGTATGGATTTGAATAAAAAAGAAGAAATGAATGTTTATTAATAATTGAATTTGAGTTACAATAAATACTTGAAGTTTATCAAATAATGCTATGATAGAACAACATTTTATAAATTCTTTGTAAAATCTTAGGACTCTTTAATTTTTGAATTTGATAAATAGGGTTTAATAACATTTGTATCTTAACCAATAACAAGTAAATTGGCTGATGATTTTGGTATCAATTTTAATCCATAAATGTTTAATGCATCCTACAAGAGCATGTTCAAAAATAAAAATTTATTATAGCATATTGAGAATCAATTATAGGAGTAAAATTAATGGAAATTGACCGATAGCAATTCATCATATGAAGTGTTTATGAAAATGGAGGAGAAATACTTCAAAGGGTTTTTTGTGATATTTTAATAAGGGTGGTTTAGATATGATCAGAAAGAATTGGAAGCAAATTAATGGAATAAGTTAAGGAAAAAGATTATCTAATCAGAAACAAAGTAATATTTAGATAAATTGGAACAAAAACATCCACAATTGAAAAATTCAGTGGTTCAAATGTTTAAGCCAAAATCATCATAGAAATAGTCTTTGTTTAAGAACTTCAGTCCAAACTTTAGTCCAAACCATTTAGATTAAAGAATTTCACTGAAGGAGAGTGAAAATGATAGGAAAATTCTTAAAACCAAAGGAGTGAATCACTTTTATTCAGATATGATTACAGACACTTGTATTGAAGACATTAATAATCTAAAATTTAATATTTTGCCATATAGTTGTAATTGGTTGGAGAAATAAAAAGTAGTATTCTATATTTTGAGAAGCAACAACTTTATTGAGGATTACAAAATAAATGAGACTGCCCTATGCAATTTTTTATGTGCACTCGAGTATAAATATAATAAAAGTGGGAATCAATTTCATAATTA